CCGTGGAAAAACGAGCTACAATCCAGGATGGAAAGGTGGGGGAGACAGTGATAAACGGAGTGTTAAACGTGGGAGGGCGCTGGTGCCTGTGAGGTAGTTTCGACCTAATGTTACGACTGACTGTCGAGCGAGTAAGTGGAGACGAGCGAGGCAGGCAGGAGCGCCGACGAGCTCTGATCGCAGTGAGACTGGAGCGGAGCTCAACAGGCAGGACTGGAGACAAGTTGTGTATTGAGCGAAGTATCTACAGAGCGAAATACACGATGGCTTACCTGGAAACAAGAGGTCGAAACTAGAGTCTCCAGGTAGCAAGGGATCCAGCTATATACAGGGAACGAACAATGGGCGCTAGAGAACAATAGCGTTGCCATGGGTACGGAGTACAAGGGGTGTAGGACAATAGCGGACGTGGGGACAAAGGGAGCTATTGTCCGTGTGTGGACAAAGGGAAACCGTAGCGAGTAGTGAACAATAAGGAAACGTACGAGGCAGTGGTCCGAATTGAAAAGGAAACGTGGCGCCGTGAGGGCGGTTCGTGACACCAGGTGGGATATTGAGGTCACTGTCCGTGGTACGTGAGCAGTCTGTTATGTCCTAGGGCGCATCATATGCCTGCAAAGGACCCGACCACGAGATGCCAGACGAGAACGTGCCTCTCCTGTCAGACCCCGAGGCCAATCACCGGACATATCATACGAGGCTGTTGGCAAGCGGAGCGCGCGTGGTGCGGTGAAGAACTTCACTGTTCGAATAGCGAGGGAGTCTGCACTTGTCGCAAAGGATGCCCTGAGATCTATACCCACCGATATACGGGCCACTCTGCTCAACAACCTGGACAGCATCTCTTGTGAGTACCTTGTCATGCAACACGCCCAGTCGGCTTTTCTTTGACGGATGCGTCATCAGACAGCATAATTATATACCCTGCTACTGGTGTCTTCGAGCACTCGGCGGCGTCGGCGTGTCGCTGTTCCTTGTAAGGTAGGCTTCAATAACTGTATCATTAGCAGCTAACGAAGGAACCTTGCGCAGCGCCGTCATTTCCCGATCGTATACTCCGTTGGCATGAGCGGTTTCACCAGAGCTAACGAGAGTATGATGATCGAAGTCATCGTGAGTACCTACAGATCATGCAGTGTTCCTGCGTCTCCACTTGTCTCACTGGTACTCTATAGCCCATCTCATCGCCAATGTCATCGTGGAGGAGGTAGGAGAGGATAATCCTCGACCACTGACGTCGTCCTAGCTGACTTGTTCAATCTGGTTTCCTTGCGGGTGAATATCTTGTAATGCTCCTGCGACTGTCTTGTATGTGTAGCTTGTCTGTCATTTTCTTGTTTCGTAATAGAATGTTATACGTCGCCTCTTCTCATCGCCCGACACTGAGAATCTGAGGCAAAGCATGGAAATATCTGGCAACGTCGACAGGTTGTTGCCCTGTACTGCCTGGGCTTCTCAAGGTTGCCCCATCTCGCAACCAACACAATCCCGGGCAATTTAGGGAGGTACGGCGCTCGACTGTAGTCATTGCAAGCGGGTGCCACACTGACAATACCGGGCAATGCCGGCGAGATCTCGCCGGTATTGCCTGGTATTGCTGTACATTCCCTTCTCTTCCAACCCATTCAGGGTTATTGGGCTAGAATGGAAACTTGACAAGGTGCGCCCAACATTACATATATGTCACATGATATTTCTGCCATTGCCTGGGTGGGCCCGGGAGGGTAATATTCGGCAACATTTATACACTTTTGCTGATGGCGGAATAACAGAGTACGGCTTCTTCAGTCGCTCATGATGCGTAGGGAAACCAGTCAAGCGATTCTAGGGTTGAGAGCCCGGGGTGGTGTGTTGACTGAGCGATGCGAAAAGTGAGAATCGTCGGCGCCCCGCCAGACATGGAGGTCGCAAAGCCTCACAGTGGACAGAGTACGCATGTGGGATCTTGTGATCCCAGCGGTACTTCTGCAAACTCCAGCCATGGAGACAGCGTGGCTGTGTAGTCGGAACAGCTCTGAAGTCAGCATGCACCAATCGTAGCGGAACTACTTCCCACTTCCGCCCCAGAGGGGTGGTCAAAGCGCACCAATTTGAACAATATCAGACATATGTGGATGAGTCTCTATATTGCAACTGTCAGGATACTGGTGCCGTGGTGGTTCATGAGGCTGAACGGTCGGATCTGCTTACTAGTCAGAGGCCTAGCTCAACACTCGGCTGTCCAGCTGGAGCGCGCTCCGCATGCGCCGGGGTCGGAATCCAGAGACATGAATTTGTCTGAGAGTGGATGCTCGAAGCAGAAAAGTCCTTCGTAGGCGATATATATGAAACCGATGGGGAAAGTTCAGTCAGTCAGCGCTCCGCCGAGTCCAGCTGCCAAGGGGGGTCTCTGCCACATCACTTCGACCGCCAATAATGTACCCACTGCACCAACGATTCCGGTTATGCACCGTTGATTAAAGGACTCCAGCAGTACATATTACTGTTATCGATGGCGTGCGACATAGTACCAGTCCGGATAGATTTCTCGATAGGCGTCTATCATTTGCCGGAGAGTGGAAGGCGTTTATCTGGTACATCGCATGACGCGAGCGAGATTGGTCCACTTGTCCTCAACCGTCATCGTTCCGTGTCCGCGATGTCTGCTTCTTGCCGCTTGCTACCTGGCTGTCGCATCTTCTGAGCATCCAGCTACTTCTAAGACCTTCTCGGCTCCTCCGAAGGATCCGGACGCACACTTAGCGATATTCTTTTGCGGCGAAGTCTCCACAGGCAAGGGCCTGATTCACACGCCAAACACGGAATCCGGTAGCTGTATGCTGATGGCGGCGAGATCATAGCAGATCATTCACCGCGCCCCTCGCACGCGGCCGATGAGTGCTGCTCACTGCCAGCTATCCATCCTCGGCTCAATATTTCTCCAATATTGTTACCAACACCTCTCGTCATCCCTATGACTGCAAGTTACATATTCCAGGCGAGCTCCGTGAGTTTCCGACTTTTGGTGCAATCGAATCCACCGCACTTACAGCATCTACTGCTGATGTAGATCAACCGATCGTGGCGTCACAAGCTTGCGATCGGTTTCCAGCAGGCTGGCGAAGGTATCCCGACTAAATGTGATGGATGCCCATAAGGGCCGCTCGATTCTTGTGGACGCGAGCCTTCCGCATATGGCAAGGCGTCGACCTCTGCCTCGTACCCGTTGTTTTCCAGGGAGTCTGGCACGTCCCTGCCCTACAGAGGAATGTTACTCACGAGTATGTTCAAGACGAAATTTTCCTCGTTGATTGACGCTACCACCTTTGAGGCAATATGTGAGGGGGAAGGAGTATCAGCCTCGCTCGAGGGTTTTCGAAGGCGCGCACGTCGGCTGGTCTCGCCTCCATCAAAGGCCTCTGAACGCGTCTAGCGTCACAAGAATTGAGCAGCTCTATTATTGGCCCGACCTGTTTCCTCTTGAGTAAGGGTTTTGTCAATGTCCCTCCTGACCGTTTGAACGCGAGGCGCACATTCGTATATGCCGGTGGATGGCCTGACGTCAAAGCGTTGCAAACCTTGTGGGTCACGCGATTGCCGCTTCGCGCTGCGCTATCGGCAGCATGAACTCTCCTTTCGGGTCCTTTGTGCCCCTTTGGTAGTTTCGCGGGAAACTCATATGTTTTCCTCTATGGTTTTCCTGACGAAGCCGGCATCGGATGGATATGCCACGTGCTCAACAGTCTGATAGGTTTATTGTGGCGCTCGGCTGAGGTTCCCATCGAGAGTAGACCACCGTCCGATGGTCAATACTTTCTGTCATGAGTCCGACGACTGTGGGAAGCGACTTCCGGCCTCGCCTTCCAGACGTGACGTGCATAGTGTCCGCCATGTATAAAAACCGGCAGACGCAGCTACAGAGATAGCACTCAGCCCATCATCTGTTCTTTCCGGACCGACAGCTTCCCACCGGCAGCCTCTCACACACTAGCTACTCCCCATCTCACTTCCTCTCCAAGATGCCGTTGACCGCCCACGACCTTCCACCACGCATCAGTTCGGAGTTTCGCATTCCAGAAGATCTCATCAGGCGAGACGACACTGCGCTTCCTCAGCTCTATGACTGGAACGCGAAGGAGAACCCGAACTACCCGCTGTTCCTTTATCACGATCCCGCCACTGCGCAGAACGAGTACATTACTTACTCTACAGCTAATGAGGCCATCAACCGTGCTGCACGGTATATCACACACAGTATTGGCAGGGAGCCCAACGCCCCGACAGGCTCTCCCGTCGTCGGTATCCTGGCGAATACTGGTACGTTTCCGACTTATCGTCATTCAACCGCAACCCGAACATATACTGAGTCACCTTTCTAAACTACAGATACAATCACCTATTTCTGCACTATCATCGGCGCGTTCCGCGCTGGGGTCTGCGCGTTCCTCATTTCGACACGTAATGCGGCCATTGCGGTCGCAGACATGGCCAAGCGCACCGGGCTCACGCACATCATTGTGTCTCCCGACGCCATCATGAACGAGATCGCCGACGGGGCGATCAAGCTGCTCGCCTCGGACGGCGTGAACGTGCAAAAGCACCGGATGCCGGTCTTCGAGGATCTCTTTCCCGCCACGCCGATGGCTGATAGCCTGTTCGAGAAGGCGGTAGAGTTGCCGAAGACCTACGATGTACGTGCATACAACACGATCATGCACTCTTCTGGTATGCTGCGCTAGCTGTTCCGCATGCGGAATGAACTCATAAGGGAGTGTTGTAGGTTCGACCGGACACCCGAAGCCTATTCGGTGGACCATCAAGGGCATCTTGTCGTGGGGTCAGGAGCCGCGTGCGTCTCTCAGAGCGACGATGTCAAGGCTGTTTGTAACTGAAGGTGTGCTTACAGTGAAATGTAACGTGGACATCAAGGGGACGATCATGGGTGCCCACGGATCGCCCATGTTCCACGGTCTCGGCTCGTTCTTATATTCTGCAGCTGTACGTCTGATACTGAATAGCGGCCTCAGAGCGAACGCTGACCACTTGTTTGTCTGGCACAGCCTATCAATGGCTTCATCGTAGCAGCATTCAAGCCCGCATCTCCACCGACCGTCCCTACTCCAGACGCTGTCTGGACAGGTATCGCAGCCACTGGCTCGGACTTTTCTTGGAGTGTTCCCTCATTCATTGAGGTACGGACACACGCACGTGCTCTACATTCCCTACGTACTTACAGGATGATTTCAATCAGGAATGGGGTCGGGACCCGGAGAAGGTGCTCTACATGAAGAGGATGCGTGGCGTGGTAAGGTGCTTCAGCCACGTTCTCCCTTTGCTTGTTGCTCATGGCTGCATCAGATCTTCGGTGGGGCGGCACTCAACGATCAAGTCGGTAATACGCTTGCTGCGCAGGGCGTCTCGCTCTATACCGTCTATGGATGCACAGAAGTCGGACTCATCAACACCTTCGCTAGACGTGAGCACTCTTCTCGTACCAAAGCTTGAACTCTGTCATACTTATGCGATGTTGCTTTAGCGAACCCTGGCATGGACTGGGCTTACTGGTCCGTAACTGCAAGCCTCAAAGGCTCTTTCCGGCCCATGGGTGACGGCACGTACGAAGTTGTCGTTCTTGTGAGTCTCCTTGGCAGCAAGACAGTGCTGTGAGTTTCTGATGAGGTGTCTTCAGTCTCCCCCAGACCTCCCACTCCCCGTTACAAACACCAAGGTCGGCGATCAGGATGCGTACGCCACGAGCGATCTCGCTGTCCCGCACCCGACCCAGCCTGGCTTGTGGAAGATTGTAGGGCGTGCAGACGAGCAAATCATTTTGTCGAACGGCGAGAAGACTAATCCCGTTCCCCTCGGTAGGCTCGATTCGTCGTTCTCTGCGTGAATGTGAGAGCTGCTGACACGAGGTGCCTTCGGCAGAGAAAATGATCAACGAGGATCCGTTCGTGAAGAGCTCCGTCATGTTCGGTCGTGGGAAATTCCAGAATGGCGTCCTCATCGAGCCTACGGAAGACTTCCAGATCGACCCTACAGATGCGAAGCAGCTCGAGGCTTACAGGAACAAGATCTGGTGCGCACATTTCATGCATGTACATTGAGTGGAGTAGCTGACGGGTCTTCTGTTCCAGGCCCACCATTGAGCGTGTGAACGAATTTGCTCCTCAGCACTCCCGCATCTTCAAGGAGGCATGTGGTTTGGTAAAGCGTAGTGTCCTCGCATGACTGACAAGGAGTCTCGCAGATGATTCTCGTAACACACCCCTCGAAGCCGTTCGAACACAACGCCAAGGGCCTGCCACGCCGTGGCGTTATTCTCAAAGAATACGCCGACGAGATCGAGGCGCTGTACAAGGAAGTCGAGAACAGCGCGCAGAGCGAGTTCGCTCCGCCCGCCGTCTGGGACCCCGCTAGCACGCTCGCGTTCGTGCGGACCGTCGTCCAGAGCACTCTCCGCCGCGCTATTGCCGACGACGCCGACATCTTCCGCAATGGCGGCGACAGTCTGCAGTCGACCTGGATCCGAAACACGCTCCTTCGCGCCATCCGTGAGACACACAAGGACGCCGCGGTACGCCTGCCCATGAACGTCGTCTTCCAGGCGCCGACTATCGCGTCCCTCGCGACGCTCCTCCACAACATCATCCACAGCGCCGAAGAGGCCGTGCGCGCACCGCAGGACCTCTGGAAGCACGTCGAAAAGTACTCTGCGAACCTCCCCGCGCGCCCCGCGAACTTGGTGGAGCGCCCCGAGGGCCAGAAGGACGTAGTCATCATCACGGGCACTACTGGGGGGTTCGGATGCGACACGCTCGAGCACCTACTGCGCGACGAGACCGTCGAGCGCGTGTATGCGTTCAACAGGAAGGGTGCGCAGGCGCTTGGAAGGCAGCGGAAGCAGTTCGAGGCGCGCGGGCTGGATGTCAGCTTGCTCGACTCACCGAAATTCAGGATGGTCGAGGCGGTGCTGCACGAGCCTGGTTTTGCGGTTGAGGCTGAGCTGTTGGACGAGATCAGGACGTCTGCGACGCATATTTTACACAACGGCGAGTACCGTGCTTCACTATCTCGATCGGTGGATGGGTCGTGCTGATCGACGTGCCCACAGCGTGGAAGGTCGACTTCAACCTGTCAATCGCCTCGTTCGAGCATGATATCCAGGGCGCGCGCAACCTCGTCGACCTCGCGATCAGCTCGCCGTACAAGAAGGCACCTACAGTCGTGTTCGTCAGTTCCGTGGGCGTTTTCTCTGGTAAGTATTCTTGAACTCTTGCACTGTGAAACGCTAGACGACTAAGTAACGCGCGATTGACATAGGCTGCAAGATTTCCCCGCCGGTTCCCGAGATACCTCTCGACGACCCTGCGTCGGCCTTCGGCACCGGCTATTCCGAGAGCAAGTGGGTCACTGAGCACGTCCTGCAAAACGTTACGGAACGCACAGGGGTGCACACAGTTGTCATGCGCCTTGGACAAGTTGCGGGAGACAGGAAGGGCTATTGGAACGAGCGCGAGTGGTTCCCGTCCCTCGTCAAGTCCGCGCTGTTCCAGAAGTGCTTGCCCGAGCATGACGGAGTGAGTTGCTTCAGCTGTTTCGCCTGATTCTTACCCATCATGCTCACCTTTCTCTGCAGAAAGTGACGTGGTTCCCGGCGTACGAAGCCGCGAAGGCCTTCGCGGAGATGCGCCGCTCACCAGAGTCAGTCCTTCACCTCGTCCATCCCCACCCGGTCCCCTGGCACGCTCTCCTTGCGCCAATCGCGGAGGAGCTCGGTGTTCCCCTTGTCCCTTACACGCAGTGGCTTGAAAAGCTTGAGGGCAGCGTTGAGCATGGGTCTGCAGAAGAGGTAGAGGCGATGAAGGCCAACCCTGCACTCCGCCTTCTGCCGTTCTACAAAGCACAGGCCGGGACGATGACCCCGGACAGGGAGGCGATGGGTCTAGTGTTCATCTCGACTGAGAAGGCAGTGCGAGTGTCGGAGTCGCTAGCTAAAATGCCACAGCTGGGTGCGGAGCGAGCGCGTATGTGGCTGGCGGCGTGGAAAAGGTCTGGCTTCATCCACTAGATAGTTCTCATACATTCGCGCAGGCAATTGTGATATCACGAATGAACGAGTCGTACTACAGACCGAGGCGACCGCTCGCATATTCACCGCCACCCCTGCGGGGTGGGTACCTTGCCGATGGTGTAATGTACATCAACTCCTACGCTATGACTGTCTACTAGTACCGGCGTGTTAAAATGTAGGGCCCTAATAAGGAGTCGGCGAGACACTCACCAGTCTTTTTGCTACCTCAATATCCTGTATTGCGGCAGTCCAAGTTCACCGAAGACCTCTGGGATCCCGTGTCATTGTATCAGCAGGAGGATCTGCCAGAGAGACTGCGTTGAGGTCGAGACTGGTTGGTGGCTTCAGGGAGGCATTTATATCGAAAGCGTGCACGTGTGCTGTCTGTCTCTAATCACGGCTTTTAACGTGCATATTGACTCCGTGTTGGACCCTGCCGCCGTCTGGCCCGATATGCGACTGTATCCTTCGATCTATTCACGGGAGTAGTTCTTCCGTAGGCCGGGCACATTGTGAGGCAATTTATGCTAAGGTACGTACACCACGTACCCCAGTTCTGGGAGGGATTCTCCAAGTCCCACTGAAACGCGCCCTTCAGAGAACAATACTTATCCTTTGTGGGCGATTGTCTTCCGACATCAACCTCGGTCTTCGGTACCGGCCGGTTCACAATCTGTGTCGTCGTGAAGAAATCGATCTCTTTCGTATTCATGCATACTGATACAGGACACTATTCCAAGGGTTGGAAGGTGATCCGCTCGTCAAGGGCGACATGTCCCATCATTGGCTCAAGGCAGCTTGTGTGGCAAGGGCCTTCTTGACACTGTCGCGAGACACCAGCTTCTGGTGCCACCTGTAGTTCATGGGACGCATACATCAGATGTATCCGGTGCAGTAGAGCGGTAACGGAGACTTACGCGTGGAACGCCGGGTACTCCTTTTGGACGTCGGCATAGTCCTTAAGAGTGAAGCTGAGCGCGACGTTGTTCCAGGTGATGAAAGAGAAGTCCGCAATCGTCGGCTTGCCTCCCACGAGCCATTCCTGCTTCGACAACACTGACTCAAGGACGGACATCACGCGCAGGGTCTCCTTGCGGTACCGCTCGATCGCGCTGGGAACCTGCTCGGGGTGGTAGCGCAGGAACCACGCCGCCTGGCCGAAGTACGGGCTGTGACAAGCACACCGTCAGTAAGAACGCAGCATCGCCCGCGGATAGGGATACGCACCCCTGGCCCGAGGACTGGAAGAAGAGCCACTTGAAGAGGGAGTATTTCTCCTTCTCGTCGGTGACGGTCAGCCGCTTCTCTGTGTCGTACTTGTCGGTGAGGTAGAGGAGGATGGCGTCGGACTCCCAGAGCACGAAGTCGCCGTTCTTGTGGTCGATGAGGGTGGGGATACGGCCGTTCGGGTTATACTTGGTGTACTCCGGAGCCTTCTGCTCGTTCTTTCCGAAGTCGAGGTAGATGGGCTCGTAGGTCAATCCGAGCTCCTCGAGAACATTCACAACTTTCCTGTAAACGAAGCACCGTAAGCACGCCACGGTGTGGAGTGGGCCAGAAACAAGACAAACTGACCAGCCGTTGGGACCGCCGGTGTGGGTGTAGAGCGTGAACTGCTTGCCGTGCGACATGACTGTAGCGATAAGAGCTGGGTGCTTTCGGGAGGTGAGAGTGAAGAGGCTGTTGGGAATGATTCTCTAGGAAGCCAGACTGGTCTCCTTTATACCTGAGCACGCTTAGGCAAACAACTTGGCCCCGATTACGACATTGTGGTGATGGTGATGTTCGCAAAGCGTCCGTGAATCTTCCTTGTCCCCATTCGGAAGGCGTGCTGACGAACCTCACTCTAGCCAGCACCGCGTGAAGCGCCAGATTACGGAGGTTGGGGAACAAGGAGAGGATGAGCACATTACCGCCGCATTCCCAGCGTGTTCCCACCACATTCCGCCGGATTAGGGGATGTCGTGGTATTAACTGCCTTCCGCTCACATTCCGACCATGTTCCCCATATATTACTTAGACATTCCGTACCCTGCGTAACATGGGATTAAACGGGATATACACTTCTGTACCATAATAATCATTTATATTCATGAGGTTTGCAGTTTGGCGCCTCATATATCCCAATATAGGCACCTATTCACGGTGGTTGGTTATTGGCTTTTGGGCCAGCAAGGACATATACATCATCATAGGCGGAAAATATATTCGAAGGCCGACTCTTCTACGCTACAGCCCGAGTGTCTGAGAAATCTGCAGACCAGCATAATAAGACACCCCATCCATGTCATGCGCCGCGTTCAAAGTGTGGTGATGTCCTACAACTGATCTGGACATCAGGCAAAGCTGAGACAGCGCGCACAATACCAAACACACGTACCTAACTGCGCATATATGCAACAATAATGTCAGTATACAGGTGCTGCTTGGGCAATGTTAGCAGTTTGCTATCAAGCTGAGACCTGAGACTCACCATCAAGTGACGATGAATGCTGGACAACAGCCGGGCCTACTAGATGCTATCAGATTCCATGCAGGGACTTTACATACAACATTAGAGGACCCACCATTGCCCCGATTAGTAGACGTACCTACAAGAGCCTGAAAACGCCTGCATAGTGAGGCTCAGACATCAGCTGGCATCCGGAAGTCGATGGCCAGTACGTACCATGAAGAGGGTAGGCACAAGGAGGGGATGGAAGAAGTACGAAGTCAAGTTGCCTATGGACGCGATGGCAGACTGATATGGGGTCAGGCGACAACGTCATCACGGTTAGATAAGTGATTTTGGACAGACAAGTCCCCCTTGCCATAGCAATCCGCCAAGGCCGTTGGGGATGTGGAGGGAATCTAGAGAGAATGTGCATGTTCCCAGCAGATTCCCATAAAGGGGGAATATGCTGAGGAATCCGTGGGGAACATGCGTGGGATACGCAGATTCCCAGCATGTTCCCTGCCACCGTAATCTGGCGCTTCACGCAGTGCAGTCTTGAGATGTCACCGTTTGAACCTCAAGTCGCAGTTGGTAAGCCTGGCGAATTATTATAGGATTCATCTGGCAGTAGCTCTCCTAACGTCTGGGATAACTGGTAATGAGTTACGATTGACTGACACAGCATTATGTAGATCCTTGGTCAGCATATGTACTATCAGGAATGGACATTGGAACCGCTTGAGAGTATCACAAGAAGGAAGGCCAAACACTCACCAAGTCTCATACTAGTGAAGGACGATTGGTTGAGCGGAACGTAAGGGCAATCTCATGTAGGCCAAGAGGGGGCCAGCCCTGGGCCAGTAGTGAGTAGGGCGAATTGGCCATAAGCAGTACGACGTTAGTCGTCACGGTTGACCCTCGTGGCCGGCGAGAACTTAGGTGCCACGTGGTGCCCTTCTACGAATTAGGTAAGGCAGACGCCCGCCTTCATCGATTTCAAGCAGAGCAATCATCGATGGGCCGTCCAACGTGAATGCTGACTGCATCTCACTGGCTTATGGATCAACTTTAACTTTCCTTCATTGTCTGTCTTGGCTCATGACTATCTGGGGCTATGAGCTGTTGCGAGAGTGGCGCGTGGCGGACGCTATCACCAATCACAGAACCTCGCGCTGATTCTTTCTCACAGTCGGCGGCCTTGACCGCCAAGTGTCCGCGAGTGGTGTATACATGGAGCAAATAATACCGGGGAGTGCTGTTAAGCAAGTTCTTGCCATGTCATGAAGTCGGAGCTGTGAGGCAGACGAAGGCCATATGTGCGGACGCTGTCGCTTGGAGATCCCACTGCGTGGGCTAACTCTGCGGATGTGACTTAATCTCGCACTTCGAGACACTAGCTCGTTCTATCATAACCTGTGGTCCCACTGGACAAGGTCACCATTAGCGCCTTGAACCGGTAGGTCCCTCTCAGTGCAATTCAAGCCCGGTGAACGTTAGGTCCGGTTTCCAGCAATGATTCGACGAGACCCGGTTATCGTGTCTACGAAGACCAGCCTTACCAACACTGTCCCCATGCTTGGGTCACACAAGTTGCTTGCAATTGGTACGGTACACGTCGCCGCATCTCAACACTGTAAGCATAGGGTATTCGAGAGTCAAGCGTCTCGGGATGGCTGACTGGCAACATCTCGCAGATCACCAAAACAGTACATGCTAAGGGGTTCTTCATCTGTCTCCAGCTCAGCGCTCTGCGCTGCGTCACGAACCTCGCTCTCCTGTGGGATGAAGACATTGACTTCGACTAGTTAGCATCCTCTCCGATCAGCCTCAAGTCGAGAGAGATCAAGTTTGGCGAGAGCTCACGAAAGATGGTGAGTGTTATTGCTTTGCTGACATCAAACAGTGAGCTGGAGGCGAAGCGATGAGTCGCAAAGCCACGGGTGGACAAACGCTAGTGACCTTTAGGAGCGGGAGATGCGGGCGCGACATAAGCAGACAACCCTCCCATCCCTTTGACGTCCACGCGCTTTCCGAGACATAACGTATTTGCGAAGCACCCCGGCGATGTCGGATCAAGAGGAGCTTCGCTGTGATCAAAGTTATCCTTCAAGTCATCCCGCTCTGCGATGATACAACCCCTGAACCGGAGGAAGGGAGTCTGAGGCATACTGGACGACTGTTGCGGGTTGCAACTTCCCGTGAAGGACAAGCGGCGTGGATTCTTGTGAGTGACCCGTGCCTCGTTTTATTGCACGATGTTAGTGATCCACCGTTGACTATACTGAGTAGTGTATTGGAGAAGAGTCCCCTGCAAGCGCAATGATATGAATTGTTCGTCAGCGCAGGACTAATCATACTTCGTAGACTTTGGATCGACTCAGAGCGCTGATCAAGACATGGTATATAGTGACCTGATCTCACGCCGTAGGTCAACACATGATATTCAAATACATGGGCGCCGCCGTGGGAGGCTGCGCGATCGATTGCAATCAGAACGCGGCGGGATTGAGTAACAAGGAGGCTTCAAGAGGCCCATATCCTCGGGTCGCCTTGGCCTCAGCGCAAGAGGGCCGAGTGCGTCGAATTGACCGTATATATAGTTATAGGTGGGTGAGCACCTTTCAGTCGATCTGCTATCATCGCATGAAGCTTAGCGCAGGGTGTATGGCCTCTCCGTTCGATCGGTGGTGTCCGAACGGGATCTGTGTCTTGTACAGCTTCGCTCAATCGGATGTGGCGCTTGGCGGCCTGCACCGTGCCGGATGCCAATGTTGTGGTGTTACGTAAGCGCCATATGTGCGCCTTCACCGCGCAAGCTTGTTTCAAACATACATGTCGGTGCGTGTCCATCACATTTGAAGTTTTTCAGATTTGCTTTTAGCGATTAGAGGGGAACGTGATGAGATCCCTAATTGTTGAGGTACGCCTTCTTGTGACTAAAAATCGGCATTGGAACAGCAATCGAGGGCGTGTATCTATGTGTCATGAGCCTACACGGGCCCAAGCATAATTCGTATATATGTCCTTTGCGGACTTGGGGCAGCGACCTATTCTATCACTGCCCTTTACCTCCGCTCGCTCGTATCCGCCACCACTATCCCTTGTAGGGCCTTCTCATTCAATCTCCTGAAGACCCAAAGCCAGCATGTCGAGCACATGTACGAACATGTTCCCTCCGAAGCCCGAGTGGAGCGTTGACCAGATCCCCGACTTGTCGGGTAAGGTCATCATCGTCACTGGCGGTAACACGGGTATTGGTAAGGAAACTGTCAAGGTGTGCCGCGTTCCGCTATTCAGGTCATCTCCTCTGGAACGTGACCCCATTGCTCATTCGGTGTCAACAGGCCCTGTTGAACCACAACGCGAAAGTGTACATTGCCGGACGCAACCCGCAACGGGTGAACGAGGCTATCGAAGACTTGAAGAAAGAGACCGGCAAGGAGGCGCTCTTCTTGCAGGTCGACCTCGGAGACTTGACCACGATTCAGCCCGCGGTCGAGTCCTTCATGAGGCGCGTGTTTTCAACAGGCTATGGCCTTGACTAGCAATGGGCACTGACAGTTTTTCCACAGCCAAGAGCAGCGTCTCGACGTGCTCTTCAACAGCGCCGGGGTTATGTACCCTCCTGTCGAACAGGTCACAAAGGACGGGTTCGACCTGCAGTTCGGAACCAACGTGATCGGTGCGTGTTTTCGTACTCATATCTTCTCGTCCCATCTGATTCGCACTGTCGTGCAGGCCACTTCCTGCTCACAAAGCTCCTCCTCCCGCGCCTCATCGAGACAGCCAAGTCGTCGCCCGACGGCAAGGCGCGTGTGATCAACACGTCCTCCATGGGCCACACCTTCGTATCTGGAATCGACTTCGACGCGATCCGAGACGGACAAAAGCGCTTCAAGGCAGGCACGAAGAAGCTCTACTCGCTGAGCAAGTTCGTGAGTATTCTCGTCGGCGTGTCCTCGGGCAAACATTCGCATGTGATTCCCCAGATACTCACCAGTACTATATTGCGCATATCTGCAGGGGAATGTCGTGTTCGCGCACGAGCTGCACCGACGCTATGCGGACCAAGGGATCGTTTCCGTCTCGCTGCATCCAGGTAATCTCCAGACCGACCTGCAGAGGCACATCTCCAAGGTCGAGGCTATCCTGACGGTGAGCTGTCCGGAGAAGTGAAATTCGGCGCAGATGTATTGAGGGCTCATCGCATCCATTGCAGAAGAATCTGTTATACCCGGCACCGATGGGGGCGCTCACCCAACTGTATGCGGGTACGACTCTGGAGGGTGCGAATCTGGGTGGCAAGGTATGCCTGCTCCCTCTTCTCGGTGCAGTGCTGTATCATTGACGTAGTACATCCGCAGTACCTGATCCCGTGGGCTAGGGTTGGGGAGGCGAGAAAAGAGACATACAATGAAGAAACCGGCCGTAAGCTGTGGGAGTTCCTTGAGGACGCCACTAGGAGCTTCCAGTGATGCGCAGTTAGGCGAGCATGTTCTCAGCTGCTGGAGTTACCACAACTGTATCTAAGGGACCTCTTTGTACGTCTACCTTCAGATAGTAGTCGCGCCCTGTGTTTGATATCTACTTTCCCTTATCTCATGTTCTCATCTCGCTATACGCATTCAGATGTATCACTCCTTGGTATGCGTCGGAAGATCGCAGAAGCAATTCCATGGTTTCAGTACATGTCCAGACATAACTCGATCGCTTCGTATCGCCTACATACCCAACATGAAAGGACGTATAGCGTGAGGAGTCTCATTGTGCGGAAAGGGTCTCCAACATACCAGAAACCTTTGCGATGTCGCCCTTGATACTTGCTCCAGGATCGTATTGCCACTCCATCTGCGCCTTCACATCCTTTTCGAAGGCACTGAGCAGCTCAGGTGGGTACCGACCGGCCGCGCTGTCTTCGACGCTGATATCCTCCCAACCAGCTCGCCTCAGCTGGTAAAGCATCCCATTCCACTCTGACCCTTGCTGCACGTTCTGTGAGAACGGCCTGCGGACATCGTCGTAGATCCTGAGCGCTTCGGACACGTTCGTCAATGTGACGGAGGAATGTGCGAGAATTTTCGCGAGAACGAAACCGTCCTCAATTGCTTGTCCAAGGCCGGCACCTTGGTATGGGACCATTGCATGGGCCTGGAACAAGATAACTGGAATGAGGAAGCTGGCATGAACATAGCAAATGATCAACGCACGGCGTCGCCAATGAGCGCGTATCTTCCCTTGATGTATGTAGTCAGTTTAGGTACTGTGTGCAACGCCCAGCCCAAAGGCTCCCTCAGTGACTGCAGTGTATGGATTAGCTTAATTCCAGCATACAGGAGCGCACATTGGCATGGAAGCGTACCTTTATCAGGGCCACAGCGTTGGGATTAAATCCCTCGAATAACTTGGCGACTTTATCGGAGGTAGTTGTCTCTACCCAAGGTCCATCATATACTGTACCCGATCCAGGCGTGTACACACTAGAAACGATGTTCACAAGTTCTCCGCCGGATACTGGATACAACACAACGTGCTACAACATTCGTCAGCCATCCGAGACAGACACATACGACTTATGAGGCGAACCCTGTCCTTTCCGCACAGCTAAGAATGAAGACGTGGAGGGTCAGTAACACGTTGCGGACCTAAAGAAGAGCCATACACGTACAATCTGAGGCGTAGATGCAAATCGCCTGAGATCCTCGGAGAGCTCGCTCGCTAGTATCAAACCACGGTATGTAACATGACCGGACCAGATCGGCTCGACCATGACGCGAGTACGTGATGCGTCTTCGATATGACCGTGCCTTTCCGATTCATCGGAAAGTTTAGCGAACATCGTGCGGCGCACGGAGGAACGAATACCGTCGCTGCCAATAACGATGTCACAGGTTGCCGTCGTCCCATCCTTAAAATGCAGGATGATGGGCTCAGTGGGGGAGGTTGGCTCAGAGTAAGACGTGAGGCGCTTTGAGAAGTGAATCCTATCCTTGGCATCGAGCTTCTCTGATAGGATCTGCTGGAGCACGGATCTCTGGAACGTGTGCACTGATATTCAACTGTCAGACAATACCTTGTCTATGCGGGCGACACGTACGCTGATGGAGCTTCACAATGTCAACCACTTTCGCCTCGTCTCCCTTCCGAAATAATATATCGCTTCCTGCGTGGTTTTCATCAGTGTTTATCATACGCAGGATCATCAACGGTAGCATACCAGCACGGTCCACTGCTCCCGTAACCTTCACTAGCTCTTCCTCCAACTCGAGCTCTTGCATGATCGTCCAAATACGAGGGGACATCAAGACTCCGGCCCCAACCTCCGTAAGTTTGGCCGCAGATTCGTATATGTCGAATTGTACGTCCAACGCATACTTCTTGAGGCACAGCCCAAGGACTAGACCACCCATTCCACCACCGCTGCCAGGAATGATCAGCTAGTAACCATAACATAAACGAGACGCAGGCTTACATGATGGCAACACGAAACTTTGACGCAGAATTGACAGAAGACATGCAGTGTCTGACCTGGACAACAGGAAAGAGATATTTGTGTTTGTTGCTTAAACGCAAGTCTAAAGCGCCTTATATAACGGAGTCGGCACCTAGGCCTCAAGCTGAAGAACCACCGGTTATCCGTGTTGATCGGGCGGCGGCATCGGAACTTCGAGAGAAGGAGTCGTAAGCCTAGCAGTGCACAGTGAACTGTCCAAGAACTCTCTCACCAAGGCGGATTTGAAGTGGGTCGTAGCGTGGTTCTGGCTCGTCACGGGGGTGAAGTCCGAGTGTCGGCCAAATGTTCTCTGTAATCCTGACCAAGAACAGAAGCATCGAACGATCGTCGGCCACCCATGGAGAGTCGAGTCCTGCAGTTTGCATCAATGTCGACATAACAAGGATTGCTCTTGTTGCCTTGCTTTGTGAACGAGGCATATATCTACTCAAGCCACATCATTGAAGCTGCACAAACAAATAGAGCAAGGTAAGGCTGAGGGAGAACAGTACGGCATCAAGTGTGAAAATATCTTCAAGTTGTCAGTATGCGGACCTGCCCTGAAGCGCCGCTTGTGGCACCAATTTATACTAGTACCGGAAATGAATCCCTTGAGGAGCGCGCAACACCCGCAACATCTGGAGATATACGATATATAGCCCAGTATTGCCGTGGTATTGTCAGATATCGCAAGGCCGCGCATTGCCTATATGGGCGATTAAGTTGTTCTCAACGCGATTGCTGACACCGTCCAGGCGCTGAGGCGACCGTCATTGATTCAGCGATGTAGCGGCCTCGTCACGCGATGGGGGTTCACGTCACCACCCAACAGATGTCTTGACATTGCACTTGTAGCAGTGCAAAAGAAGCGTCCTCGCGACGTGTTACATCACAGGCAAAACCACCACACCGTACCAGCATAATTTCCATATAGTTATCTATCACATATGAATCATAAGCGGTGTATTATGCCCGAAAGATCGTGACGTGCATGAAGAACGTAATAAAGATGATAGAACTTGTGGTACTAGCCTGCTCAGAGACCCGTTGTTCCAGCCAACGACCCCCATATGATGTCCCTCCTCCAGCAGTGTGCATGAATCGATGGCATGGGGCGAGATGAGTTGACACACGATCTCAGTGAAGTCCAGACCGCCTGGTCTTCACAAAGCGGCGCGGGCGGTAGGTGTCCCGAGCCCAATTATCGTTAGATTTCCAGTCACCGCAGCTACCTGAGTTGCTGGTGCTAGATGAAGAGGGAGATGCGACGGAAGTAGAAGCCGAGGTTGGACTGGGACCTGGGGCGGACGTGGGAACGTCCGAGATAGAGGCCGACGACGAAGGAAGAGCGGAAGAAGTGGGAGCAGTAGATGAAGGAGCGGGAGGAGCGCCACTGTTGGACACGGCGTTGTTGCCATTTCCAGAACCGATTGAAGCAATTGGAGGACCAGGGAAAACGTACTCGAAGCCAGGATTGTAAACCTAGCAACAATATGTTAGCCATCTGAAGCAGAGGTTGAATAAGGAGCTACGCACATTAGGTGTCAAGATACCAGGGTCGGTGTCGGAGTACGCTCCAGGAAAGCTGACGGTAGCATTGGGAGCACCATCGTTGTTGCCACCAACGCGAACTTGTGTGCAGGACGGATAGAACTCGGCCCCGCCCACAGACACTGCACCTTGGAGAGCAATGATCTCATGGCGGATAAGATAGTCTCCGGCTGCAATGTCGCTAGGGAGCGTGATACTGTATGATTGACCGTTCACTGTTGATATAGAGACAAAGTGAACAATTAGTCACACCCAACAAATGTACAGGGAGACGACGCTGACTTATATCCGCTTGCACCCAACCAGAACTGTCGCTCTTCTGTCCGGCTTCGTCGATCTTGAACCACCGGGCGTTCGAAGCATCGAACTTGTCGCACGTAGTCCCATCGCACACGGCCATGTAAGTCATGAGCGGACCGGTGTTGTGCGGCCACTGGAGAGCACGAGAAGCATGAGTTTATGTACTCGAAAGCGTGAATGGAGAGTGCTTACGTTGCCGCCGCCACCAGAAGCCCAAGAGAAAGCGACTTGGCTCCCAGGGTTGGCGGGCACAACGAGCGCTGCGTTCTGAGCATCCTGTCCGCAGGAGAGGTTCGGGTTCGATGCGCCCTTGACAGGCTCAACGCTATCGATGAGGCGGATTGGGCTATTACCTAGAATTATTCGTAAACTAAGGACAGATCCACCCAAAGTATATGCGACGTACTGGGAGTCTGATCGGGGACATTGCCCTCGTAAGTCGTGCCGTCTATCGCAACGCTCTTGAGGTAACCGTGGGCCAATACTTGGGTGATCAATGTAAACAGGAGCACAATGAGAGTATATTGCGACTCCATGCTGACGAATCGTCGAAAATATGAGAGCAAGTTGTGATGAAGGGGCCGGCCCGTCTAATACTGCTGTATGCGAGAGAGCGAGCGATAAGGAGGGGAGTGGATTGTCATACAATGTGTTACGCACGTCGCCTTTATCCTCCGTCTGCAATCGCTCACCACCCTCTTTCCAGAGACATGTGCACCGATTCACGACTTGTGGCAGCCATGTCCGGCGCCGCGTGCAAGCCTGAACAGGTGTGTCAGTTACATTCTTTGTGCTTGCGACGAAAGCATGCACTCGAGAAAGTCTAGAGGATCACAAGGGGGTCCGGAAGCGACGATATTCAAGGGCGACGTGGGTTGCGCACAAGAGACAGATGCAGCATCTATGAAGGCCCCGATCTATTCAACATGCGTCTTCAGCGACAAGGATCGTGACGGGTGAAGCATTGTACCTACAGAAGAGTCACATGTATACTCTTTCAGACGCTGTAACATCAGACCGAAGGCAATCATGAGCCCATTCTCATCTCCGTCTGTGAAACATCTCCCCGAGCACAGCTACGGAGGACATAGTCCACCTGTTAACAATGCGGATTGGCCGGCAGCTCGCGCTCGTCAAGGATAGCGGCCGCTGGGCAGCATAAGATGAGGATGCAGCACGATGTAGACACGCCCAGCAGTATCGCCCCTCGAACAGTGTGTTGGCTTTGCTACATCAAGTGCCACTCACAAGTCAAAGCCCCCGTAAGCTAGATATATCAGCGAAGATTGAGAACTTGGGTCAAGCATCAAGAACCGGTGTCGGAAAGAGGTCACATCAAGCCAGCGACGCTACAGCGCTTGACGTATATTTCCTACGTGCTCGCCTCACGATGCAGACGCGGATCTTCTATGCAGCGTGTTCACGACGTGAACGCCACATTCACAGTGTGCGAATGACTGCGATATGGGGCGTGGCTTTCTGAGGCGCTGATTCTGACCCTCGGCCACGTGTCTCCGGTGCCGCACATGTTTCGGCGCGGAGACCGTGGCAGTGACTGCGCCTGACCTTCAAGATTAGCAGCGCGTTCTGTAAGCGTACTGCTGCACGAGTGCATTGATGGGCGCGGAGTATGGCGAGTCTCCGTGAGGGGTAAACAGGGTAAATGGATGTGAAACGGAGTCTCGCGCCGGCTTTCCTAGTCCGGAAGACTGAAAGAACCGATAGCAAGCGGAGCGTCGGCCATCGAGGTGTTCGAATTCTCCTGGAGCTCGGCCTTCAAGCTTTCCCGGTGAAGCGAGACGAAGACGATCGTCTTCCCCGCATAGCGCAGGTGCACCGCTGTTCAGTACATATCATTCCCCTGCGCAAGTGCCACGCCGCCTCCGTGAGCATCGACACAATGAGACACGGTGGCACCAAGATGCTAAGGTACGTACTCATACTCAGAGACATGCCCTATAAGATGATGCTTCTTCGCGCCGACCTTGACCCGTTAAAGTTCATCTAGGCCGGTGTCGAGGTCAATCCCGTAGACGAAGGTGTCATCCATGAACGACGTGCTGGTCACGCACGCTTTCCCGTCCGATGATGTCTTTGCCGACCAGTTCATGAACTAGAAGAAGGGAGACAGAGTGCAAAACGGTCTGCCCTGCGGAGAAGATGAGATGAGATGAAGAAAAGGCGAGATAGGTGCGGGAATCAGCAGGATAAGGCATGATCGACCAAGACCTCGCACCGATCACGTTGACCCGAAGCGGTAATCGCACTCATCTGTTGTGGCATGCTCTACTGGAAGGCGGGCCGTCCTCAGAGCTATTGATAGACACACAAGCCGCTATTCTTGGATCTAGAGCACGGTGTCAGTTGTGAACGTTGCTAAGAGCTTGTGGGAGGCCACCAGCTCGAAGCTCTACTTGATCCATTTCAAATCTGCGAAGCCAGGCTGCAGAGAATGTGCCACGTTCTATATGCCCCGTGACTGCGGCTACTCCGGATCGTCCCGGTTTTCGAGTTTTGGGGTGGACACTGATTGGTACAGACGATACACCAAAGTCTCACAAAGCCTGCATTTCCGCTGGTGACGATCATGACCTTTTCTGATAGACATCTTCTCCACGCACTCACCGTGTGCTAACTGCGCTTCCGTCGAGTTGTGTATTGTTGAATACGAGGTCGTAAAAAACCTACCTAGCGAGGCAGGGAGGGACGAACAAGATCACCCTGACAATCTGTCAAAACACCGGAACGTCCCTCCCTTCATGCAGATAGGTACTACTGGGTGACGTACCACGACATGGGAAATTACAAATGGCGACTGTCCGGGGTCGTAGTGGCCTCGACATATGGACTCGCGTATGACAAACAATTCCTGGAGGGTATGCTCATGTCGGTCGAGTACAGAAAATTTCATTGCCTCTAGGATCGTACATAGAACTGCGCGCCAAGCGTCAAACACAGAACGCCAGGAATTGAAACACACTCACCTAGGATCCTTATTGACCTTAATCCAACATCGCGCACGACTGTCAAATCATAGGAGTCAAGCGCTCCGGAGATACCTACACGTCGTAATCCGCGATGACTCTCCCGATACCCTCTTCTGTGGCACGCTGCACGACTGCGCAGGCAATCACCACATCCTGCACGCCCACACCTACAGACTTGAATATCGTAACGTCGCCCCTGTCATGGATGTCCTGGATGGATTTCGTTCTGGGGGTCCAGGACATCCGTTCGGTGGAGAAGTCGTATAACTGGCCCAATTCTACGAGGTCTGTCTCGGAGAAGCCGGCGGTGATGAGCTCTCCGGCCTCTTGCTGAGCAGAAGTGAGCTTTGGAGAAACGCTACCGGAGTGATGAGGTGCAGGAACTTACAAGGCAGGCCGCTTTTTGATCTACAACGATCATGCCTGCGCGCTTGACAAGCGCGGTGTCGATCTCATGCCTGCACGGGATCATGATGAGAGTCTATTCCACCGGACTCGACGACAGGTTGCTCACATCTCCGGCTTGTACGACCCGATGAGGCACAGGTGCGTTCCAGAACGCACGTACTCAGAGGGGAACAGTGGCTCCGTCGATGACGTTGCGGTGATGATGATATCCGCCTTGCCTACCTCCTCTTTCAGATTCACCGTGTTGGCCTTGTCGTTATGAGAGGGCGTCTCAGCAGCGACCTGAACGGCAGGGAAGGTCGTCTTCATGAGACCTAGTAGGCTTTCGACCCTGGTTCCAAGAGAGCGATTGAAGATGGTGCACAACCGGATGGACGGGTACGCAGTCAGGAAAAGCGACAGATGAGCTTGCACTTGTGCTCCAGCTCCGAACGCAACGATGCTCCTTGGTCCCGCTTCCGAGGCTAGCAGCAGCCGGGTAGATAGCAAGGAGCCTGAACATGATTTGCATTTGAGTGAATGGAGATACACGATCGGCACCGCGCCCACACTCGCAGCCAACGATCCCCAGTACATGAGGGAAAGTGAGGAAAGTATGTGGAAATCATGTAGCGATCAAGAATAAAACGTACCAGCAGCGTTCCTGAGTGCAGTTAGGCTTCTAGCATTGACTATTGCCTTGACACCACCATTCCTCTCGTCCAATACGATAGTACTTCCCGGGAGCCCTCGCTCCTTGACGTCCTGTGGCGCTGTCGCTGTCGGCACCGCAACGACCTTCATGGTCGTCCCCGATGACGCCACCCTTGAAGGCATAAAGAGACAAGTGTGGTTTCCTGTGGGGACGCTCGTCCGATGAGGCTGAATGATCCCTGGATCATTGGTGGAAAGGCGAGAGAAGACATCGGCCATGACCGCGACGAGCTCATCGGGAGAGAACCTTGCCGTTACTTGAGAGACGTCTGAAGCCGATAGGACTAGGAGGGACATTCGTAGCTGAGTCGAAAGATGACACGAAGGAGAGCAGGCAGAAAGCAGGCATGGTAGGAGTCAGCGGTCGAATAGATGACTTGACCTAAACGGGTAATTTTAGCGCCCCTCCACAAATACAACTGTGGATCGTCATATGTACATACTTAAGTGTCATGTTTGCGATCGGGCTTTTCCATCTCCAAGCTAGAAACTACAGTATGTCCTCTTTCACGCCGATGATTGAATACTGATCGAACATTGCAGACCACCGGTGGACAACGGAGCGGTTGAATGCACGGAGCTAGCCGGGGCTCTCCAGAGCTGTTCGGGGAAGGGCGCTTGTATTTTCGGAGATAGCCGGTGCCATGCGGTTACCGAACTCCGGACTCATGCCACCGACTGCTTGACAACGTGGCTTTATTCTTGACTTGTAATAGTCTCGTGACCAGACGTTCGGAGCTTGAATCGGATGCGAAAAACCGGGGGCATCCGAGCTCCTGAATGCCCCCGGTTTTTCGCATCCGCTTCACACTCCGAACGTCTGGTCACGAGACTAGACTTGTAAAGCTCTCGCTTGACGTTGCACAAGAACCAGTCTCACAGGGGGTCCCTAATATGTGCACTATGCGTAGTCTCGCGAACGACGATCAGATCATCATCTCGATTCGGCGTCCAGCGAGCTGCGCTGGCGACCGGAACAGAGGGAAGGAAGCAGCTAAGTCTGCCTCTCAAGTCACCCAGATCTACGCCTTGAGAGACCTCTACTTCCGTTTCATGTTCAGACCAAGACTCTGAGATGTTATTGACGTTCACAGGGGAAACCCACAGAGAAGTGGAGCTACAGCAGCCGAGCCCGCCAAACGCACAACGTGCGACCTCGTCCCCTAGCAACGCACGTTATTGGAGCGTAATTCAAGCTTACAGGTATACAAGAGCGTGGCTGCAGAGTGTCGTAGACGTCAACCCACGTCCAATTGTTTGGGTGATGATCATAATACAACACTTCCAGGGCATAGCAAGTCGCGAAGGGCCCTCTAGCGTTGAGAACTTGGGGATCTCAGCAGCTCTCAACACAGGACCTCCGTGCATCGTGTCCGCTAGAAGTACGCATTACAGGTATCCGAGCACCCTCATACTCCGCGATTGTTCTGACTCGATCATCATACCTTGCACAAGAGCGCTCGAAACCTAGCATCCTTTCCACCACGAGTGCGCGTCCATTCTGCTCTCTTCCCACATACAACCATCACGGTCCCTTGCTCACCGAAGATTCCACAGCGAGACATGTATCCGAAGCACCTACGGAGTGGTTCTCCGAAACCTCAGGCTAGTGCGTGTACGCCACGAGGCCTAAGCTGTGACGTTGTCATTGTCTGACGACGTCCTTCAGGTACTGCATCGTCCGCGGCTCCTGAGTCTTCACAGATAGATCAGTCTACTGTGATTGACACGTCTTTCGGCGTGAAGCTTCGCTTTGGGCTGGATATCACCTCCCCGGCCGCCTCGCGGATGCTGGATGGCCGCAGTCACCGCTACCCTGTAACACATCCCAAAGTTGAACACTCGACGAATGAGCAGTAGGCGTCTTACCCTGACTGATTAATACAGCAAAAATGAACATCTCTACGTTACAGTTCCCTAACTTTGTTGAGCTCCTTTTCGCAAGATCTAGCTCCTAGTCCAGAACTGACTGCGCTCGCGGTGGCACCGCTTGCACCCCCCGCTTTCCATGACATCTCCCAAACGCAGTGCAGGTCCTGTCCTATCGTCATTGCACCCAATAAGTGAGGCTTTAGCTCACTCTTCACGCCTGAGGGATTATTCATGCACCCAGTTGACAGCTTCGGCCGAGAGCCTGACCTCCAGGCTACGCCGATGCGCCGCCCAAGAACGCGATCCCCGTCGGTGTGGGCTCTGGCACCACGATCGTGGCGGCTACTACGGGCTAAAGGAGACCGCCCGATGGTCACTCTCACCGTACCTTCGCCTCCGGGTGCCCCTCTACCTCTGCCTCACATTCATGAGCAACACCTGAACCCGGAGCCCATGTCTCCTGAAAACGACACTCAGCAGTCACCTCCACCAGATCAACATAGACGTCAATATTCCAACGTCGACGGAGACGATCTGGAGTCCGATGATGAAGATGATAGCTGGATACCCAGGCAGCGTGTAGAGCAGTATTCTGTCTCTCATGACATCGCCCAAACTATCTGGTCAGAATTCGCTCGATTAAATATGTCACAGCACGCGTCGTCTGACCATACGGTACAGCTCTGCTGCAATCGAGGGCGAGTTCATTCAAGACGAGATAATACTCAGGCCCCATATCGAGACGCCTCTTCACTGGAAAGAGCAGCGCGACGAGCCTCTCGCCGGGCCCTCAGTCCGTCGCCGTCGCTCTCCCGATACATTGGAACTGAGAACGACGTCATCCTACGATCGAGTCAACGAACTCATCCGCGCGCTCAACACCTCGGAGGACCTCACCGACATCGCGCTGGAGCCACGTCCGCTCCGCTACCGGCGGGTACTTCACGAGTTCATCAACCCAGGTTTCGAGGCCTTTCAGTATCGCGGAGGCGTTGGATTCCTGAACCCGCTCGACACTGCAGTTGACATGATTGCGGAGGGCCGGGATCACGTTAAGGGGCCTAGCGATGCAGATCACGACATCGTGGACATCAGCGACTCCGAATCGTCTCAGTTCGAATCCGACGAGGAGGTCGAACCGGAAAGAGAAAAGTCTATGGTATCTCCCACAGACGACCAGGTCCGTATGGGAGAGCGCAGCCGAGATAGAACGAATACAGGCAACTCCTGGCGTAGTCTCGCTACCAGTGAAGAATATCCCCAGCTCCCACATCTACCATTGCCTCAGACGGTGGCCTCACGCGACTTACCACCATCACCGGCATCCGTCTCTGCCGCTCAGATTCACGAAGCAGGTCCGAACAGCTCCATCGGATATTCTGCAGAGGGCTCACCACACGTACGCAGGCCGCGTTGGCAGCGCTTTCGCAGAATTCTCGCTACTGCTACTCCCCAAACACAAGATGGTCGACATTGGACGTATAGCTTATTACACCATGACAACCGTACTCCCGTGCAGGCGGTCCATGCCCCCACATTTGCATCAGGGTCAACACGCCAAGTTCCTGCCGACGAACGCGGAGTTGGGTATGCTTCTCCACAGCACCATGCCGTATGGCAGCGATCTCAGCTACCAACGCACCTACACGAGCTTCATCATCGTGACCCCAAGCAACGCACTCGCGATCCAGAGCATGACATGACGTTAGCGCAGACACAGGACTGCAACGTCGATGCGACTAGGTCCGCCAAAGCAGGGTCGTTGGCACGATCGCCAAACGCTCCTCGCGCCACACAACATGCTCTGCGGGCCGGCTCGTCGAACTCTCCTGGAGCAGGGTCGAAGCTACACGGGGACCTATCGCCTTCTCAGGGTCGACCAACGAAACGGAAGAAGACATCTTGGGCAGCTTTAACTTCCGACTTTTGTGAGCCCGAGGCTCGCGCCACTGCTCCGTGGCGCGGAACGTCCAGACCATCGCTGCCTGCCGCGCAGCTGCGGATCCCCTTCCCGGAGTCGGCGCCATCCACGAGACCGACTAGACGGCCGCGAGATGAGTTCGAGAGAGGCTTATTGGACGGCACGACGACTCGGCAGCGACTTCATCCGGCGAAGAAGCGCTGTAAAGGCGAATCGTCTCAATAGCCGTTCGCGAACCCTGACAACGTCTAGTTTACGGTCAATTCCTCGATTTTGCATATCGTCATGGGCTCAGTACCTAGTGTTCGCGTTGCCTGCGACCTCACGTCTGCTGTATATATATATGTGCAGCCATCGGGCACCAACTTCACTGACAGTGTTGCAAGACGTGTGCAGTCGTAATTCGACAAGTCAATATTCAATGTAAGATTGGCTGGTCTTAATACGATACGTGACTTCGCAGCCATCATTAGTAATGCATTAATCTCGGGGAAGCAAGCTGTCCTTCTGCATACGAATCCGGGTATACCTGTTTCCTCATCTGTCGACTCGACTCCAGGTCGCTCACAGACACCACCCAACGGCAGTCCCAATATCCCTCAACGGCCTGTTCTCCGAAAGCGTCAGCGCAAAGCACAGGCATTCCCGTTCTCTGTCCTTCCTCCCTTGCAGCGCGTACATCTTTGCTAAGAAGTACCACGCTTCAGGCACGTCCCACGCCGCACCCTTCGTGAGCTCGGATAGCATGCCGACAGCGAGGTCCACATTGTCGCGATCGGCAGCCTCTAGACGCTCCTTGGATTTTGTGCAGTTCTGTGCAGAGGCGAGGTAGATACGACAGAGGTGTACGGTGGCGGAGACGTCGTTCGGTGAGATGAATAGCGCCTTCTGGAAGCATTCTAGTGCACGGCGATCATCGCCAAGAGCGAGGTGGTACAGGCCGAGCTATACATCAAACGTGAGCATCAGAACGAAGGAAAGTAGGGTGAAGCCATTACCTGCACCCAAACAGCAGGATTGTTCTCGTCGCGCACCTCCGCCTCTTGTATGGCACCCCTCGCCTGCTCAATCTTGCCCAGTCTCCGGAACGTCGCGGAGGACATGAGCCAAAGATTACTGAGCAACCTCCGGTCTTTCGCCGCCCTCGCCTTCTGTCTCGGGATAGTGGACGTCGGTTCGGGAGGAGGCAGCGAAGGCGGGGGTGGTGGCACTTCCGAGCCCGCGAAATCCACCTGGGAAGCGGCGTAGATGCTCAGATGCTGACGCAAGTGAATCGAAGACGCTTGGAAGGGTGACTGGTCATTAAGCATGGCGTGGAAGTCTAGGAATAGCGACACCATCAGCTAAACTTAAGCAAAGAATTTCAACGGCGAGTCTACCTGGCGCTGAGTTTGACCGCTTGAGGTGGACCCCATGGTGTCTCCCAACATGCTGCACATTATGCCCGATCTTCTTCGAGATCGTGGTGACGCGTGCACGGCCCTTGTGTACCCCGCTTATGAACACCTCCCGCACCTTCTTGCCCTTACCACGGTTCGTATCAGTTGACAAACGAGACTTCTCGGATGGTTGAGCCTCATGAGCGCTAGTCACGGGCAGTTGATGGTCGCCATTTAGCTGGTCCGAAGAGTACGCTGGGCTTGGCCCCATCGGCGACGCAGGAGTGACCATTATCGGTATCGGGGGATCCTGAGCGGCGAGCCCGTTCTCGGGCTGCTCCTCGGGTAGCGGAAACATGGCGGATGCGCGGGCCTCTTGTCGCACACCACCCGAGAGCATTGATGTCGGGCGGATGTCCTGAGAGCGCCGACTGTCGATCGACATCCTCCCTATACGAGATCAGCCATGCGTGCATATATAAAGACATCACGCCCTTACGATCATCCGCACCCACAGGCCTCCGCTCCGAGAACCACTGGAACACCTCCACCCACTTGTCGCCAGTACCTTCCGGACCCTCCACAAACTCTGTCAGCGTAAGCTGTGTCATTCTCAGTTGAAGCGCCTGCTCGAACGCATCCTGCCTCGTCGGGGCCGAGCGATCGACGAACGGCTGGAGTAACGACGAAGACAAAGGTACCTCCGTAGCGTCCTTGTCCAGCAAGCGCACAGGCTGACGAGGGGGAGACGGTGCCTCAGCCTCGTCGGTAACAGTCTGCCCGTTCGTCATGGGTGATGGAGGGTAGGCAAAATCATACGCTTGAACTCCATTCGCAGCTGCGTCACCGTTGGCCGACACGCTATCGGGCTCGTCGTCAACAAGATCGGCGTCGGAAGCACTCACGCCCATCTCGAGGACTTCCTTGGCCGCGCGCCAATTGCCGGTCGCGGTAAGCAGGAGCCCGAGCAAATGCCAATGTCGTGGTTCGGAGGAATCGCCTTCGACAGCCGCGCGAGCGTGCACGATAGCTTCCTGCAGATCCTGCGATGCACCGGGACGAGTGTACGCAAGGGCGAGATGATGATGGGCAGAAGGGGTAGGGTTAGTTTCCAGCGATGTGTTGAGTAGTGCGAGCGACTCGTCGAAGTGTTTTGTCCTTGTCCGAGGGTCCTGCTCTGAAGATACAAACAATCAGCCTATATGAGATGTGAATTGCTTGCGCAACTTACCTGTGTAAGCCGTAGCTATGTGCCAGATCGCCTCCGCCAACTGAGAGCACGCCATAAGCTCCTTGTCATTCGGATTCAGACGCGTCTTGCCCTTTTCCAGCACCTCCCTCGCCTCGCGCGCAGTCTCAATCGCCTTGCCAACATCTTCCCCCAAAGCCAGCCGCGACAGCATCCGCGAGCCAAGAACACACGTCTGCACCCAAAGCTCGTCCGTGTCGACGTCCACCCCCGCACCAAACGCGCCATCCGCGTCGGCTGTTGTGTTAGACTGTTCAGCCAAGCTGGCCTCGCGCGCCTTGCTCACGATCTGAATGTACAGGCGCAAGGTGCGCTTCGCGAGATCTGGGTCGCCCCCGACATAGAACAGTCGGCTCATGTGGCGGAATACCCGGAACGAGTTGAATGTCAGGCGTGTTGCCCACCACAGCACCTTGAGCATAATAAATCAGCAATGGCGCACCACTACCTACGACGCTCACGCTCACGTCGAGGACCCAGCCTGCATACTCCCCGATAGCCCCGTCCGCCTCCCAAGCGGCGACAGAGAGGTCCACCAGGTCCTCCACCTTCCAATTCCTCTCCCCTGCCTTCGGAAACGTCGTCGAGACGCTCAAGATTGCCATATACTCTTGCACGATTGAGCGCGCCGTCCCCATCCAACGATGCGAACCTCGCTCCGCGCCTTTCGAGGGAACTGCAGCGCGCGCTCGCAGAATGAGGGCGCGCAAGTACAGTACCGCGATCGCCGAACGGTGATCTGGGCGGAACAAGGGCGGCCAGTGGGCGGAGCATGCGTGGTACTGCTGGAAGAGCTGCCAGAGGGAACCGTTGCGGCCGTCCATGCGCGCAATGTCGCATATTCGGGCTCCCAGCACGATCGCGCGGCGGAGGGCACGCTCTGCCCACCGCCAGAACTCGCGGTAGCGAGCGAAGGAGCTGTTTTCAGATGCTGTAGGAGCTTGTGTGGCAGTGGAGGATGAGGGGACGGAGGCAGGGATCTCGGCGACAGCAGTAGAAATGATGCCGGATGTGAGGAGATAAGTGGAGAACGCCTTCTCGAGGTCATTGGGGTACAGCATCTCGCAGGACATGCCTGAAAGAGTAACATGTAAATGCATGCAGAAATTTAGACACCTACCGTTGACCCACCTTGCAAGCATATGCTCCGGATACGCTCCACCGCCGACCAAGCGCGCCCCTCGTCGATATCCGCTATTGAGGCGGCAGCCTGCGCAGACACGAAGCTGCCTGTCCATGAGGAGGAAAGAGAAGTGTCAGAGCTCGCTCCTGGGACGTGCAGCGTCGCAGCCGAGCGAACGGTTCCGGTCGCAGAAAATGGGATGAAACCTTGAGCATCTGCCACGTCCTGGATTTGGGATAGATATTTTAGGGATTCGGACGGTTTCCGCAGAGCGAAGGCGTAGTACGCCAGCGCCGCTTTCGTGGACTTCGGGACGACATACGTTAAACAGGTTCTGGATTGAACTTACTGCTGCACGTACATCCGAGCGACTCGCATCCAGCTGCTTCAACGAATCGTACCCTGCCCTCGCTTCCTCTATCCTCTCCTCTGGTAACACGCACTCGTCCCCCAACGCCAGTGGTCCTTGTGACCCTACATCGTTACCGTCGAGGCTGCTTGCATTTGCCGAGAGCAAGAGGGACAGGGCCTGGGTTTGCGACGCCAGCTCTGCTACATCGCGATGCTCTGGGTTGTGCTTGAGGAACTTGCGAATGAGATCCGACCATGAGACCGGTCGTTGATGCCAGTCCCTCGCTGGCGTGCTTGCATCCCATTGTCCCGCAGTCAGTGCGCATCTAAGCTGTCGCCAGTAATGCTGAGACCTCGAATGGGTCATGCCGATGTCGTCGTCTAGGACCTCTTGGCTGTTCGAGAGGCTTTTCGCAAAGCAAAACTATGATGACGACGCAGGGAAAGGTGGGAGAGGTAAATGAGAGTTTGAGTAATTGGTGGAGTTGTGCCAGTGCGCAATTGACACGGACCCTAACCCAGAGTTCAAGACCCTTCCCAGAATAGTCATTGAAGTTCATTGGCGCTCAATAATCATAATCAGGACCGTGATACTCGCCCCTACCTACATGATTCTACGTTCACAATAGCTGTTGCTGATAAAGCAGTACGACTTTTCTGTACTAAACAGCAGGAGAGACAGATTTGTCTGCATCAAGGTTACCAGGCTCGGAGGGACAAGACATTGTCATAGCCGCCCACCGTCCTTTGTTCTCGGGTGTGCCACTCGGCTCGTGCACGTCCGCGGGGTACTTCCAGCCACGCTCTTTTCATATCCTGACCCCCACTCGTCTCTCAGTGCATCTCTTGCTCTACTACCCCCGCCACTTCCCCTACACCGACATACAATGCCCCCTACCATGCCTTCATCAACCAAACCGACCATCCAACCACCGGCAAGCTTCCCCATGGAGCTGCACCAGATGATCACAGAGGACGGGCGGTTCGTAGACATACCTGTAGACCTCCTCCGCTATCCTCCTCCCAAACCCACCGAGTTCCTATACTTCCAACAATTCTACGAGGATGCATCAACGCTCCGCCAGGACCTTGACCGCTGCAAGACCGTCGAGGACGCGATCGACCTCTTGGCCACTGAGCTCGAGTCAATGCACGCACTGATGTCTGGCTACGTCAAGTGCCTTGTTTCAGTAACTCAGCAATTCGACAAGAAGTATGCGGACGTGATAGAGCGGCAAGAAAATCTGAAAGGCGACTTCGCATTTAACAAGAACTTGGTACTCCACGAGATGCAGCTTCTCGGACGACTCAAGTACGTACCTTGCGTATCATATCTTGCATGGAGTTCCCATCTGACGCGCTACCTGGAAGGCGGGGCTATGCCCTTCTCAAGGAGAAAGTCGACCTCAAGGTGCGAAACTGCTCGGGCTTGACCAAGCTCCCCATCGTCAAGGAGGTCCCACCGCGGCGAACCCATCCACCCATGACCCCAGAAGAGCAAGTCATTCAGAAACAGCGGTCTTCCGAGTGGTCCACAGTGCAGTTCAACACCGCTCGCGTCTCCAACGCCGCCCGCCTCGGTCGCGAGAAGGATATGGTCGACGAGCTCGCCCGCCCCTCGCTGCGCCACTCCGATTCTGCCGCCTCTGAGAAGGGAAAAGGTACCGACAGAGCCGACCGCCCCGAGCGCGAGGACTCGAACAAGCCGCTCGAGCCTCGGGTCATCGTGAAGGTCAATAAACTCGCCGAGGGCCTCGAGGTAATGGGCGAGACGTTCGCGCGCGTGCAGATGAAGACGGAGAGGGAGTTTGAGTACTTGCGCTTCCGCTCCGCGGAGGCGGCGCAGAATGCGGCCGAATTCTGGTCATTGTACGAGCAGACCAAGACAGTGACCTATGGCGTGGGGTGGGACATCAAGGAACTTGGGTATGTATTGCCTGCATGATATAGTAGCCCTGGGACTTACGTGTGTATTCTTCCAGACGCATCCACACAGCATACACCAATTGGGCAGAGCGGCCGGAGCCTGGGAGCAGCACGACCGGCGATACAGACATCTCTGGATCTTCTGCGGCGGCGAACGGCTCCTCGTCGAGCGACCCTGCACAAAACGCCTCTTCATCTTCACCCTCGGATACTTCTTCAGCAATGCCCGCCAATGGTCACGTTTCCCAACCGTCCAAGGCCGTCCCCGTCCCTCTCGATTCCAAGCCCTTTACCACTCCCGTCCTCCCGTCCGGCGCGTACGCCGTCTGCATCACCATGGAACACGCCAAGCCACTCGACGAGCTTACGCGTGAAGAAGCCATCGCGGCCCTCGCCTCCCTCCCTCAACAGTTGACCTTCGTGCCGTACGAAACGATTCAAACCCTCGAGACCGAGAAGGAGCTCGAAGCGCTGTCGCAGGAGCAGAAGAAGCTCGACGAGTCCATTGAGAGCTGGGGAACGCAGATCCCGAAGGAGCTTGGCATCGACGCTGTGGTGAACGGGGAAGTTCCTATCACCATGGTTCCGAACAAGAGGACGGAGGTGTACGAGGAGTCTGGACCTTCGGGAGCGGGGAAGGCCGCGAAAGCTGTCGAGTCGACCTCTAGTAAGGGTAAGGGAGAGGAGACATCCCTCAAGAGAGCTAGGGAGCCGGAGGCTGTCGAGGTACAGAACGGTACTGGTGTGGATGCACATGCGGAGAAACCGGCGGCAAAGAAGCCGAGGCGTGCACGGAAAGCATGATTGAAATCTGTATTCACATTAGTAGTGTGATCGCGCACTTCAGTTCTCTGTACGCTACTTACATGGTCATGTTCCATCTGCTCGTTGTCTTCATTTCCTGCGTCTTGTTGTATCGTATTGCTGTTCTGGGCTTTGTATCAAATACTCATTTTCTGTTAATCGTCATCTCATACGTGAGGATCAAGTCGAAGTGAACTCGTATCGTCGGGTATCGTACATAAACAAACGTAAAATCGCTACAGTCGCCATTGTCTCGCTCCTGGCTCTAACCTTTTGTTGCGTCGGACATACAGAACCCGAAGCCCCAGTACGGCGAGTCCACCGACAAGCAGAAACCCAGCGTTGGTGTAGTGTCCGGTAGGGTACCCTGGCGACTCGTTCGCCTTATAGATGTAAACACCTGCCGAACCGCGATATCAACATAGGTTACAGCGAAAGAGGCGCGAAGTCGGACGCACCAATGATTTGGCCTATTTGGCCAATGGAGACATTCAAGGGCACCGCGAGGGTCGAGGCGCCGGTACTCCGCAGGTTCGCGGTCAGCCAGCTCAGGAGCGGCGGTATACACGCAAAGGCAAACGATAGCGCGATGATGAAGAATGCATAACGAAGCTTAAACGACTCCGCAGGGAGAGCGCCTGCAGCGATCGACGGTATCAGTCTCGCTAGACAGGGAAAGGAGGAAAGCATGTACGCACCCTCGACCACGAAGCAAGCCCCCGCAATGAACATCGAGATCGAGCACCCCAAGGCGCGAACCTCGTACCTGTCCGATACCCACGCAACCGCGACAGTGATCACGAACGCGATCGCGTACGGCGGGACGGTGAACAGCTGCGCGTTCAGCCCCTCGTACCCCAACCCCGCCACGATCGTCGGCGAGAACAGCGACATGCTCGAGAACGGCACCGAGATCGTGATGTACGTCAGATAGTGCACGTACAGCCTGTAATCGCGCAGCGTCTCCTTCGCCTCCTCCCACGTAATCCTATAGTGCCCCAGCGACGCCACGCCCTTCAACCTCGCCACCGCGAGCTCGCGCTGCCCGACCGACAGCCAGCGCACGGTCTCGGGATAGTCCGGGAAGAAGAACCAGACGAGAACCGCGCCAGCGCACGACGGCGCGCCCTCGATGATGAACAGGTAGCGCCACGCCTCGATGCCGTGCGCGCTGTCCAGCTTGCCCACCCCATACGCGATCGCGCCGCCAAACGCGCCCCCGAGCGTCGCGCTCGCGAGGATGAGTGCGATGCGCAACGCGCGTTCCTCGGGCCGGTACCAGAACGTCAGGACGTAGACCATGCCCGGGAACAGCCCGGCCTCGAAGACGCCCAGGAGGAAGCGGACGGCAATGAGCCCGCCAAAGTTGTGCACGCCGCCGAGGATCATGGTCATGGCGCCCCAAGCGAACATGAGGAACGCGATCCAGCGCGAGGGGCGGAACTTCTTGAGCATGTAGTTGGAGGGCGTCTCGAAGACGGTGTAGGAGACGTAGAAGATCATGAGCGCGACGAGGTACTGCTGGTTGGACATGTTCAGGCTCTGCAGAAGGGAATGTCCCGTGTTGCTGTTGAGGATCTTCGCGTTCCCCTGCCATGATGGCTCAGCATTGTGCGCGCGATGAAAGCGACGTCATGCACTCACGATGTTCGAACGGTCCAGAGAGCATAGCAAGTAGATGACCATAGACGCGGGTACAATGCGACGATCGATACTTCGTAGCAGCCTAACCAGTCCGCGGTCGTCAGTTGACCCGCCTGTGGCGCAAGATTGCATTCGCTCACCTCCTTTCTGCCTCTGGATCTGCGGTATACGTCGACAAGACCTCCTCCAGCTCCTTGGCGTCTTCCGACACACTAATGTCCTGCTTCTCCATATCCTGTGACGCCATGGAGCCAGCGCTCGCCTGCTTGTCGATCCCGTGGCCCGACATCGTCGTTGTCACGTCGAGGAAGTTAGAGCGGGTGTGCGCGCTGTCAACTCGGCATCTCTTCTCCACACATCAGCTCTTATATAATTTATGTATCGCACCAGACAACGTACGATGTCGATAGCCGTTTATCGGCCGGCGCCAAGTTCTACTAAAAGCGTGATCACGAGCACTCCGGCAGCGGTGGAGGACTCGAGCCCCCGTCAGCTGCTACAACCGATCAGCAACTATTGAGGGTCATTGGCTCCCTTGTGAGCGCTTGCGTAGATCGTACCTTACATTGATTTCCTACCATTCATCTGTCATGGCTCATCTATTCACCAGCCATCGCGGGCGTACCGTATTATACACACCGCCCACGGGCCGGGATCCGTGGGGCTGCTATATGAGTATGCGAGGTTGCGGCAATGGCTAGCATCAGCTACAAGAAGAGGATCCGAGTATAGCGCATAGATAGACGGTCAACTGTTGAGCATGAGACTGAGTATACAATTGGTGAGCTCGAGAGCGACTACAAGCTGTAGACGAACCTTGACTAGTTGCTTCATACCCAACGAGGTACAGTGAACGCCGCTGAGCTGCGACGGGTACGGAGGTACTCAGTTAGATTCCTCCGCCATGAGAAGCATGAACGATGCATCCACCCACATGACGATCTCCATGCAGGAGGTTCGATACTGGAGTCTCATCTCGCGTGGAATGTGGAACTGAACAATGAACTACGATCACATCTAGTCGAGAAGTAGCGGTCAGACTACCACTTAGTAGAGATTTAGAAATGGAATGATTGGAATCGCTGCCGCTCAGACAGCGAAAATGGAACCAGCGACTGCGTATGGCACTTACAAGCTGCACACGGTAAGTAGCAGTGCCCCGATCCTGGAGGATGTCGACATCGCAGAACACTCGAAGACTGCGTTATCATTGCGTGCTGGTTGGATCCCTGTTTTTGAAATGTGAGCTTTGAATGTATGCACCGTGGAATACAGGGTCCGCTTGTCGAGCGATAATGCAGAAGATCACGAAGTGAAGGTAAGTGGAGTTTCAATGACAGTTTGGGGGGCAACGATGCCTGGAGAGCCTGCCTCGACCACAAGAGTCTCATAATTCGCCCTCCCAACGTACTGGCACTATTCACCGCCGCATCACTGGATTAGGGGTGGGGACTTCCAGGGCGCATGAGCGGGTGCAGTAACCACTTGACGGTGACCAGATCTGCTTGCTTCAAAGAAGCAGGCCCATACAGAAAGCGGGAAATAGGGTGACAAAGGTTGATTGACTCTCGTAACAGATGTCGCGTCTAACGCGTCACTGGACAGAGCATGAGAAAACACACCTTGTGCTCAGCCAAGATAGGTTATCGACGAACGTTGAACGAGGAGCATCTTCAGGAAGCTGCAGACAGAGGCAATGAACCGGCCATTCGGAATCTTCGGCCCTAGGAGGTGCGCGAATTCCAACGTCGACGCGATCCTAAAGCAAATGTTGTTCACATGGCAAATTCGGTTTTCGGCTTTCGCGAGATACAGCAGATAACGTTGCGAGAACGTAAGTAGATGCGTATGCATATGATGGAAGAGTCTTCTGCGAAGCTTCGTCCGGGGACCTACGAAAAAGGGACCAGTGCCTCCAGCCTTGACCTGTGTTCAACCTTGCGATCCTGCCCAAACTCCGACTACATAACCCATTGTGTTCGCCTCCAACCGACAATTCATTCCGCGAGCAAAAGGGCATTCGATCAACTCAGGAGGGCTTCCAAGGGCTTCTCGTTCTGTAAGGCGTCCAACGAATCCGATGATATCGAAGGTCGCGTCGACGTAAAATGCAGCGACTAGATACAAGCCGGATAAGCGGCGGAAGGCGTAGGAGTCGTGTCTTATTTGACGGCGAGAGAGAGAAAGATGTTGTCCGAAACGGCAGCAGGGCGGGCGGCTCAAGGCGAGGGAGGCGCGTGCCTCAGTGCCGTCACCACGGCTTGTCCGTTCTCCACGACGAGGACCACCAGCGCGGGCTGGAACGGCACCAGGATAGGAGTCCGCCTGCCCCGCACTATACGCATCCTCTGATCAATATCGACAGGTGCATATATACGGCCTCTACGTGAGTTCCAACGACATTCGTCTTTCCCGTGCCGTACTCGCATTCCGAGGCAGCCATGGCGACTCTATTTACTGATACTGTTCTCCAGCAGGCTCCGCCCCCATACGGACCACCGGCAGGCGTACTCGTCGTTCCAGCGATCGAGTACTTCGCCGACCCGCATACCCTTCACGGCTCCGCGCCTTCGCCGTCGGGTTCACAAGCCATTCCTCCCTCTCGCGCACGCTCTACCGCCAGTCTCCAATTGACACCGGTTCAGGCACGTTCTACCACTCCAATCAATACCCGCAACTCGAATTTGTCTCCACCCCGAACGTCCGACGGGTCGCGTATCCCCGCTTCCCGACGTCGCTCCAACACCGTCGGCGGCCCCCCTCCCAGTACACGGAAACCTACCCGCGCGCGTGCCCGGGGCACATCCTTCATCGGCAACATGAGCGCCCCCAACAGCAGCCCCCCGCCCTACTCCCTCACCCCTCCCGAAGTGCGCCTCATCAACCCTGCGAAACGCGCGTCCTCGTCACCCCATCTCCGCCTCTCCTCATCCTCATCCAGTCACCTCCCATCACACTTAGCACCGCTCTCTTCCCACTCTCGCCAGGCGTTCTCGGAGTATGCGCGCTCGCGGCGGCCCGTAGGCCCGACCTCGGACGACGAGACGTCCGGGTCGGGAGCTGAGACGGACGACGGGGTCGTATTCCGCCGGTCCTCGCAAGGACGGGGAGAGAGCCTCGCGGAAACCCTCAGGAACAGACTTCTCGGCAAGGGGAAGGGAAGGGCGATCGACGAAGGCTGGTCGCGGCCGATCACCACCACTCCGGGCGTTCCATGCGCGGGGGAGACGGAGACGGAGGGTGAAGATTCGGTGCGTGTCTCTCACGTTGTTCGCTGCAGTCGCTCGCCGTATGAACGGAGACGTCCGCATCTAGCCAAGGAACCTCCCCACCGCGCGCATCACCCGGTCGTCCTTGTCACAGGAACTCGCGCTGCCGCCCCAAACGGCGTGGCTGGTCCCGATATTCTTTCAGATGTTCCGTTTGCTCTCGATTGTGCCCGCGGTGTTCGGGACGCTATGGAACTTGTACCATGTGTTCAGGCCACCGGACGGGCTCGTTGAGTGGCGGGTAGACTATGCCGTAAGCATGCTCTGGGTAGGTCTTGTCCCCTCGTCGACTGGCTTGCTTCGTTCACATCGCGGACAGTCTATCCTCACAGGATGGCAATGCCTGCAACTGACAACGGGCCTGCTCCAACGATGGCGAGTCTACTACTCGCCTTGGGCCACCCTCATCCGCCTCCTCGCCCTCCAAGGTGTGTCGTTTCCCCCCTCATCCTTCCTCATCTCATCTCTTTGCATTCTCACACAGCAATATGCTGGCCGGCGACGCACCTAACACTTACCATCCTCTCGCACGAAGATCGACCCTTGATCTGCTGGGCTGCGATCGGCACGACGACCTGCTGCAGCCGCGCCATCCAGCTCTGGGTGACCTCTAACATCGTCCCCATCCCTCCCTCGCACCCCTCCCACTCATCCCACTCATCCCATCTACCCCACTCTCACACGCCCCCTGTGCAGGAGGAGGAGGAGCACATGCGCAAGGGACGCCGGCGGCGATGGGACTGGGCGCGCGTGGGCATCCAGTGTGCGTTGCCTGCAGGGATCGTGTACGCGATCATGGCGTGGGCACTGGTGCTCAGGCGGGAGTTTCTCGGGTGCTGACTGCTGAGCGCCGAGTTGTTGGGAATCGCGACTCTTCGTAGATGTATAGGAGATTTGTGAGCTTTGCTATGTGCGCTGTTCAGTATGCTGTCATGCTTTACTTCATTGCCTCTGCGGTGCTCGATCTCTGCTCACAGCCTAGATTGTCGCGCATGGGCGTGGACAAGTGCGTCCCGTCGATTGCAGAAGGTGAGCCTTTGAAATATGACCCAAGGTGCACAGAAATGGGCTCCGGTGGCGTGCGCGCAGTTCAGTTGGCTACTGTAGTATAATGTCTTCAAGACGTATGGACGCAGAGACGAGATACAAGATATCACAGCAACCGCGCCTATATATAGAGTACTATTGTATAGTCCGGTGTTTCGGGAGCACACACCTCGGCTACGGCCCATCTCTAGATCTGTAAGCAGAGAACGAAAGGGTGTCCACTCACGGCATGACGTTCCGCTCAGACCGGCACCGTCGCCGCCGTTGCGGGGACGAACGTAAACGTCTAGATTCGACAACAGTCAGCTCGTCGTTCCTGACTCGACAACCCTCGGAATCCCGGACTCACCACAGGCTGTGCGGCGCCGAAGTTGGAGGTGAACGCGCCCACATCGCTAGTGATCGCGAACGCGTTGGACGACGAGACGTACACGATCGACGGGGTGACGGCGGTACCGTCCGAGTTGACGAACGACGGGACGAGCTCGTTCGTATCCGTGAGTGTCCAAATGTTGCTCTCGACCGCCTCCGCTACGCCCGCTGCGGCGGAGAACGAGTTGACACCCGGTACCGCGGGCCCACGGGCAGCTGGCGGAGACACGGAGTGGGATGAGGTCAGTGGGAGACGTGCCGCGAGGGGACACAAGACGTACTTTGCTCAGTGCCCGCGATGTAGTAGTAATTGAACGACCCCGCCGCCAAGTCCCGACTCCTATCGGCGAACCCTTGGACCGCCCCGAGGTAGGGGTAAGCAGACAAGCCGTTCTGTCACATGAGACCCCGACGGCTAGAGTCAGCAAGGGATGACACAGACAAGCTCTGCGTTGCTTACTAAAGTCTGCAGATCGAAGGTCGTGCCCACCGTGGTGTCCACACAGAACGACACCAAGAGCGCTTGCGAGACGTCGGTGGTCGACGAGTACTCGCCGTACGATGTAGCGGTGGCCGACAGATATCCCCCGGTCGACACTGCGATAGTGCCCGTCTGCGCCACACAGGTGGACGACTGGCGAGGCTGGAGGGCGCGAGCCGTCCTCGAGCGGCGACGAGGAGGGTTCGGGGGTAGCCCCCGTGCGAGGCGTTGTGCATTCGTGAGCGGGACGATGTCCCTCAGTGCGACGGGCTTGGTCACGACGTCGACGGGGTAGAGGTTGTCGGATAGATTGCGGGTCGTCCGAGAAGGCTCGGGGGCCGTGAGGACAGCGGTCGCGCAAGCGGCAAGGAGGAGCACGCGTGCGAGGAGGGCGATCATGTCGACGAGGAATTGGTTTGGCTAAAAAGGAGTGTGGTGGTGCTGAGCGAGCTGGGCTTTTTTGTCAACGCGTAGAGTCGGTGAGGTGATCACGGTATCCCAAGAGAGGAGCTCAAGGGATGGGGCGTTCCTACAGCGGGACCGGGGAGGTAATATAAGTACAATGAGATCTCGAGATGTATAAATTTGATCGGCGAGGCTCGGACGCCGGACGGACGGAGGATCGACGTCAAAATCATTGGTGCCTGAATGCACAGACCAAACTTCAAATCGAGGGTTGCACATACGAGTTCGCTGAACGTCGGAAAAGCCGTCTGTTTGCGTTGGCAATGGTAGCAACCTGCGCCCGGGAGATATGGACTGTCGTGTTCCGTGAGTCAATACAATACTTACGCCATGGACACCTTTCGCAAGTGGTTCAACCTGTCTCCTCATTGGTGGAGAGCGGGCGAAGCGCTGATTCAGAAACGCTGCCCAAAGGACTATAGTCTCGCTGTTAGATTTGCAGGATATGTCGGCTGCAGTCCGCACCTGATTCGTCCTGCAACAACGAACGGCCAGAGGGTTCTAGGCCCGTGGGTTTGGCGCTAAACTCCGGATAAATTTACAGGTGGATTGAGCACATATGCTGTGGCGTAGACATTAGAACAATCTTAGCTTCGGACGGCCCATCCACAAGAGCGATACATATGAGACGAGAAGAACCGATTCAGTCCGACACAAGGACATCGACGAGACAATGATTCCGAACTTACTGTACTCCACGACGTCATCTCCCCAAAGCATCGTCTACTTCCCAGGGACCTTGGCCTGGGCGCGGGCTGGTGCGGGTTGAAACGAAGTACACTGTATCGCACAGCAGGCTGCTTGAGGAGGTCGTGTACCCGGTCCGAAGTCGCAGCCTGGCAGTCCGTCAACAAAATCAGTTAGGACGGTGCGCCTCGTCCGAGCGTGTGCCTCCGAATGGCATGCCGTGCAATAGTCTGGAAGGCCTGTTCGTGTTGTAACATATCAAAAACTCACACTGTATGGGAAGGTACATGCGGTTCGCAAGTTGCTCCCGAAGGTTGTGAAGTCGAACTGTCGAATATGTAGTTTGTCCACGTGGCACCGGATGTGCGATTAGGCGTGTTCAATTCTTGTCGCTCGCTCATTTCTTCGCGCGCCTACCGGGCGCCTGCCCACCTGGATTCAAGGTCAGCTCAAGCGCCTGTAGCAAAGGGAGCAGAGGTGCGCAGGCAGCGGGTGCAGCGAGATCGACGGGATCGTCCTATGCTAGGTTTGTTATACCCAGAAAACCTGTCCGGAGAGTGGATGGAGACATCGGGAGAGTGTTATAGACTCGTTGCTCGAGAATAATCGTACACAATGCGCCCAAATCCGAACCAGATTCGGCACGACATACATACGGTTCACCTGGGGTTGCCGCTGTAAGCCTGATGGCAATTGGACCCAAAACCTTGCGGGACGACTCCGCGTCTCGAGTCATAGAGCTCTCTAGATTTCAAATCATCAAGTTTTCGCGGCGCTCCTTAGTCCCAGCTCGCGACCCTCATGTGGTCATGTTGCACCCGCCGCCTGCCCCCCTCTGCTTGCTGTGCTACAGGCGCTTGATCTGACCTTGAATCCAGGTAGGCAGGCGCCCGTTAAGCGCGCGAGGAAATGAGCGAGCGACAAGAATTGAACACGCCTATTGATGCACACGCGGCTCAACTCCGACGTATTCACTGCCACAACGCGAAGTCAGCGCGCACTGGGATTGCGTATTATGTGCCATCATGAGCCTCTCCAAGGTCTCGACTATGCCGCTCTGATTCTATTATTGTATAAGTCTCTGGGGACGTATACCAGCTCACTAGAGTCCGTCTCATCGTTTCCAGTCATTCGCATGCGTATCGAGTAATTCATTGGTATAGCACAACTGCAGTCTCGAGACTATGCAGAAGTCGCGACAATAAACACCAAGGGTTGACGGTTCGTTCCAGGATTTACAGCCAGCGTTGCAGCTGACATGGTCTGCTGGCAAGCTACACACCCGCTCATCGCCTGTGGTCAGACAACGTGAGCAGCATGCTTCAAGCTAATACATATCCTTTCCTGGTGTATTACTCACGAAGGGTCGTCTTTGTCAGGTCCATCAAAACCTTGCGCAGCCCGTGTGAAGGAGATTCGCACAATTGTCATGCCTGGTCCTTCTATCGATACAACAACGGCGACAAGCTTTGCAATCTACACTTCTCTTTAGTCCACATTGTTCTAGAGCTGCGGGTCCGTTACCCCAAGGTAGATATATTCTATCATTTGATTCGAGGAACAGCACATGTGCGTGGGCCGCCGCGCTATCGTGCTGACTATCCCTCGCTCAGGGCTGATTTGCCGATCTTCCACTGCGTCGGACGCGGACAACGGGTTTACGGCTGACATCAGAAGAACGGCGGACTCTTACGCATATATAAAGGAGCCTCCGTGCTCCCAAGCTGGCGCAAACCTCAAGTCGCACAGATTTCGATACTATGTCCCAGGTCGACAGTCAACCCAAATTCCGTGTCGCCATCATGTGAGTCCAAATTCCTCCAACTACTCTGGGGCTTCATTCACGGACACCTGTTCAAGCGGCGGAGGCATGGGAGGCCTCGTCCTCGGATTATGCCTCAAGAAATACGCGCCAGATGTAGACTACGACATCTATGAGTCTGCGGCAGAACTCACAGAGGTTGGGGCAGGCGTCGGGATGTCCCCCCGTATCTGGACCATCATGCAGGAACTTGGGCTGGAAGACGAGCTCCTTACGATTACCGGCGTACAAGGCCAAGGTGGTGGTGCGTGGATAAGATCTTGTTTCGGCCCCTATTTTGGGATTAATGCTGGGGTTCCAGGTGCCATTCTACGATTGGTCAAGGGCGACGAACAAGAACTCATCGACATCACTCAGCAAAACCAGCGTGAGCATTGAGTTACTATGTGACGAGTGGGAAGATGACCAAACGGTACCCTTCCAAGTTCACACCTTTCACCGATCCATGCTGCAACAGCTTCTGGCCAAGCATCTCGACGCGGGCGACAAGATCCACTTTTCCAAACGCCTCGTCTCATATTCGGAGCCGTCATCAACGGTCGACCCCATCGTGCTGAACTTCAAGGACGGGACAACAGCGACGTGCGATCTGGTCATCGGCAGCGACGGCGTCCGTTCGGCCGTTCGGCGGACCATGTTCAGTACTTTCGCGGACGAAGCGGAGAAGAACGGAAAAACAGAGGAAGCCTCGAAGCTACGCGCCATGGTGGAGCCAGTCTGGACTGGTGAGGTCGCGTATCGGGGGTTGACACCGGCGAGTGCGCTCTCAGAGGACCTCGTGAAATTCACGTCTTCGCTTCAAATCGTACGTAACACTAACGCCTTTTGCGAGACAACTACAATCTAACACGCAAGCCGATCAACAGTTTGTCGGAAAGAACAGGGTTCGCGCGTTGTTTCGTGGGTGTCGCGTTGACATGCGACTGACCCAAGCTTGCAGGACGCGGTCATATACCCTGTATCCGGTGGGAAGATCATCAATGTCCTCGGCGTTGTCTACACACCTGGGTCAGGCACTGTGTATGATGGGCCGTGGGTCGAAACTTCCACCTCGGACGAAGTTGGGAAGCTCTTCGATGGGTGGGAGCCAAAGGTTTTGGCTGTCCTCAAAGTTCGTCCGAATTGCCATGCAATCTACCAATGCGAATAGTGACTCACGAGCGGCGAATATCAGTCGGTGGGACATCCACTATGCTGGGCAATGCACACAACGCGGAAGCTGCCTACCTATGTCAAGGGGAGGGCAGCGCTCATAGGCGATGCTGTAAGTACATCCTTGTTTATGGCGGACTCCGCTCATCGCAGTCATGCAGGCACATGCCATGCTCCCTCATCAGGGCGCTGGTGTAGGACAGGCGTTTGAGGATGGATACATTCTCGCCACCATTCTCTCTCATTCGTCCGTCAAGTTGAGCAACGCTGCAGAGGCTCTGAAGATCTACGACGACGTCCGCAGACCCTTCTCGCAGAAAGTTCAACAAGGCTCGGAGGACAACGCGAAGAGGTACCAGCTGAGAACGGATGATTGGGAGGACGTGACATTGGAAGACAGCAAGGCGGGTCAATATGACCACGCGAAGCTGGACGTGCTTGCGAAGGAATTCATGCATCAAATGCAATGGTCGTTTGACTCTAGTATCCTCGGGGATCGTGATCAAGTCGAAGAAAAACTTCGGGTACTATCTGTATGATGTATCTTTTCTCCCGCTGTCCAACTTGTTAAGGACATCGTCCATCTGTTTGCTTTCCTTTCTCTATTACCTTCAGCGATCAGAACCAAACGTACTGTAGGGCTATTACAGTTGTAGAGATAAGTACAACGAACTCCATGGTACCAGCTCAGGTTCTTGTGGGCATGACCACCGCTAGCGTAGTTCTTGCCATGGATGTAAATCTGGGTCCATCTGTCTCTGGTCATGGTCTCACCCCCGTTCTCTTGTCCAGTCACTCGATGCCATTATGCCTCTAACCCTCACCTATAACCCGTTCATAGATTCAAAATCTCTGGTCGGGGTTGGCTGAGTATGGCATGCTGACCGAGATCTTCGCTGTTGCATTCGACGAGGCGTCCGACCCGGGGGAACGGCGGCGCGTCTTGCGTAGGCTCTTGAGTTGGAGCCTGGAAGAATCTTCGCGAGGCATTGGCTCATGGCTAGGGATCGATTGAAATAGAGCATACAGCACGTCCTGACTTATAGTGCAGGAGTTGGCAGGGGACCCAGGAGTCGGTGATCAATTTGACTCGGAGCCACAGGCTGCGCGAGCGCCTCAGACGCCGGTTCGCCGCGTGTATACCTGACGTCGGGCGTCAGCGGGTGGTTAGCTGCGACAGCCACGTGTACGACCTCACTACATAGTGAGCTTCATCAGCCGAGCCAAATTTCGCTCTTCATGCCAGGTAGAACAATTCGTTGAAGCAGAGAGGTGAGCGAACGACACTAGGACATGCTCCAAGCGGTGGCACCTTCTTCAGGCGGTGCTATCAGTGCCACTCCCAAGATAACAAGACAAACAAGACCATCTTGAGTATGGACCCGGATCCTCTTGTTCTATTTGGACCTATATGGTGCGGGAAATACCCGAGACTTGCATGCACCCTCAATGTCTCAACACTCGACCTGGCCCATCGACATCGACAGGGAACGCAATGGATCTGATACGACTCCTTCCAAATTTGTCAGTAGAAGCCTTCGCATCGATCTGTTCAACAAGCGAGACATGAAGAGAGCGATGGCCATGTATTGTCTAGGGATGGGCCACATGTATATGATAGTTGTAAGTGTTCCCGTTTCGGATCGTCTTTCCTTGCGCCACTGGGCCACATTCATGCTATGTCCCCCAGATTCTAGGAAGTGGCCCCCATGCCTGGATACCATTGTACATTCTGTGCGCTATTGCGCCTCACAGCTAGTGATACAGCCTCTGTTTATCACACCAATTTCGACCGGGCACCGAGTCCCCGCCGCGAACGCTTACGGCTATTGAGGGTCCTGGACGCGGGCGCCACTCGCAGCGGGACGCTTTGGCCTATCCGGATCGGCACTTGTAATTCATCCCCCCCCGGTTATTGTTCCCTGACCTGGGTATAGTCCCAACATCCAAGGGCGCCTATGCCCTCTACTCTTTTGCTTCCCTACCTCTACCATCACCCGCCGTCTCCACTCCCGGCTCCCGCCTCTCTCTCTCCCTCCGAAATCATCAACCATCCATTCACCATGCCTATCAAACGTGTAACTAGGAGCTCGAGCCGCATATTGGATGGTGAGTTCCCCGTTGTTGAAGCAGGACGCGTCGAGCCGCTAACCACGGACCCAGCCACCCCAGCCAACCCCCCTGCCCCTGCTCCCGCCCATGCTGAAACATCCCAAACATCGCAAGGAAGCGGAAACTCACCGCGGAGGACACGTTCTGGACGAATCCTTGGTCAGATCGCGTCCGTCGCGACGAAGCTCACCGGAGGACGTCGAGTGCGAAAAACCGCGACGATCGAAACCATCGACGAGGTTCATGACAGCGTTTGGTGCGTACAGTATTGGTAAAGCATGCTTCTCGTATACTCATCTCCTTTATATGTCCTCAGCGTCGTCCCAGCCACGGACCCTGACCCTCCCCAACCACGGCAAGCGCCCGCTCCCCGCAAGCGGGGCGGCAAGGCCGCCAAGCAGATCGATAGCGGAGAACATATGGGTGGTGATGATCTGTGCGTCCCATGTACTATTTACTCTATCTTCAATGTGCTCATCGTCCCGCTACGTAGTACCGTCCCTTCACTGAAGACCGCGCCTGCTGCCCCGCCCGCGCCGAGCAAGCCTACCGCTGCTATGAAACGCACGAGGTCTTCTAGGAAGCTCCCGGGAAAGGCTCAGCTCAAGACGGCCGAGCCTGCGACGGTCGACAACCCTCCCGAGCCCACCGCCCCATCCGTTCCTCCCATTCAGAAGGGGCCAAGCGTCCCAAAGACCGTCGAGGAGTTCGAGCGCATCGCGCAGGACATACGCGATTTCAATCACACCGTTCTCACCCGCGCCAACCTTGTGAAGAGGAAGCTCGACTACCAGACCAGCGTCTACGTCGGCAGCAGGCTCACTCTCTGGGACCCACCCAAGGAGGCACTGTACCTCCTTCACAACGCGTACATCCAGGAGCAGCCCTCCCTCCCGTATATGAATGACCCTCAGGCTGAGATCAGCTCAGACAACGAGCACCCTGGGGTACGCGATGCCGACGTGACGCTCCATGTGCCGGCAGCCTGGGACGAGGAAAACCCCGATCCAGTAGTCCTTCCTTCCGTCCATGACGATCAACGCGAGCCGGCTCCCGTCGATCCCATCGCTGAAGGCGACGCCTGTGCTGTTCGGCCCGGTCGCCTGCAACGTGAGGGCGCCGTGATCCTTGGGCAGCCAGAGATTCAGCCCGCCCCAGAGTCTCAATCGACACAAGCGGCTGCCGCAGCGGTGTCGGCGTCTGGCAGCAATGCTCCGTCCCGACCACGACCCGCCCCTCTCAAACGGCATAACGCTGTCAACTGGGGCTACCCACCAGGGTACCATCCCGAAGGCTCGAGCTCTCAGCCGGCGGTCGAATCTATCTCTGTTAGTGGCGCTGGTCCTCTGCCTAAGCGTGCCCCTCTCAAGCGGCACAATGCGGTAAATCTGGGCTATCCTGAGGACTACCGTCCGAGCCAGGCGCCGGAGCAGCCGTGCGAAATTCCCGCGTCCAATCACGGACCAGCCGTATCCGTGGACGGACCTGCTACCGCCATTGTCGGATCCAACCCAGCCCCCAACGGAAGGGCCGCCCCTCCCAGCGTGTCCGCACCTAGCGCGGTTCGACGACCTGGTCGTCTTCAACGCTCAGACGCAGTCATCCTGGGATATCCCGAAGGTTACACTCCCCGCTCCCCCTGGCCATCGTGGGTGATCACCAGGTCAAGCAACGCCGTGGACTCGCAAGCGTCACAGAACCCAGCCGCGGTCCCTCGCCGCCCCCTTTCGCGGTCTCGTGCTCGCGAGGAAGAATTGGACGAGCAAGCAATCGAGGCAGACCTCAGCGTCGAAGAAGACCCGGAGACCGCAGAAGCTCGCCTACGCCTCATCCGGCTTGAGCACGACGTCAACAACGCCCTCATGTACCGCGAGCCCGGCGCTGTTCGTAAATCCACCCCCGCACGCCGCCGCTCAGGAAACCCGCTCACGCGGCAGGCCGCCCACTACTTTGACGAGGATGGGAACGCGATCCTGTACGACATCGAGGACGATGATGAGATCGTCCAGCAGGTTATTGGGCACGTCTTGCACGAGGTCGCGGAGGAGCGCGCGGCGCGCCTTGGGCCGTCCGGCTCTCAGGTCCCCTTGACACTCCACGAGCCTGGCCCTGGGCCTAGTGCTGCTCCCGCAGAATCTCATTCGCAGCCGCAGCCGTCGCAGCCCGGAGTGCAGCCCAAGCCGAAGGCGACTGGAGCGTTCTCCTCAGGGATGAGCGCGTTCGCGCCGCGTCCTGTCGGGAACTCTCTCGGCAACGCTAAGGGTCAAGCTGCTCCAACTTCGCCCGACAAGGGCAAGAAGCGCGCACGCGAGTCCGACGACGCCCCACAGTCGCTCACGCTCTGGGGCTACGCTACGTCGGCAGGACCGCTGAAGGTCAACGTATCGCTCTTCCCGATTCCGAAGCGGCAGAAGCTATCTGACGCTCGTGCTGATGCTGCGACTGCGGAAGATGGGGGCGCTGCTGCTTCGCCGGATGTGCAGCCTCGACTAACGGGCGGCGCGAAGCGTTCCCGAGAAGAGTTTGAGGAAGACGGGGCGGACACAGGGACGGCGGAGGAGGCGAGCCCTGCGAAGAAGTCTCGTGTCGATACTCAATGAGTATCATGCAAAGGTTTGACATTTCATATTCTCTCTTGTGAAGTACCTGTAGTTTAATAAGTCGTCGGACTTCGGACGACAATGTCTCGGACTGGACTTTGTATTCCTAACTTATCGTAGAATAGCTGTCTATAGTTCGATTGCGTGTTCGTTCTCGTTCTGAAATTGCGTGTTGTTTGGGTCTTTGTATGATCTGCCTTTGCGTAGTTTGCAATCCAATATCGAGGCGTTCGGGGTTCATGTTGGGGCCTTGACAAAGCTTATATTCTGCAGCCGCCGACGGCCATTTCGACGCGTATGGGTGGCTATATCAGGTTGGCTTCAATCCGATTGACATGGCATCAAACGAAGCGAGCAATTATGTTGGAGGTCTTTTTTCCGAAGGTGCAGCAGCGTCTCTCACGATATATAGATACAATTTCGCTGAACTCGAGTATCGGTCGAATTCTCTAGTCCAGCCATAAGCGCCGCAGCGATCCTTCTCCAGCCCCGTTCCTGTCCGTCCCCGATTGCAAATGTCCGCGCCATTATCTTCCCCTATATTTGCGGTGTGCAATAACTCAGGTGGCAGAGCGGCGACAGTCAGTCTGAGAATAACAAGTAAAGGCGTCCCGCCGTGTACAAATATTGCTGCTCGTTACGGATGTTCGTTGAGGGAATTTCAACCATGACGTAGGTGATGGGCTCGAATGTTAAGCGCTCTAGAAGGCTCGAGGATCGCTGACTGGCAAGGATAGATATTCTTCGTGAGAGGTACAGGCTAAGCTTCAAGGGAAAACTTCGCTTCGCTTATGTCAAATTATCAACTCGCACCAGGCCAAGCAACAGTCCTACTGAATTCAGGGATAGATGCGTTCAGGAATAGACGCGGTCGTCGACTGCCCGCCGACTGTACAAATCTGGTTGAGTATCACGTTTGCCTTTGCATCAAAGCCAAGCCATTAGAAGAGTGCTTGCCCTCGACTTATTTGAGAAAGAAGAGCTTGAAGGAGTTAACTAGTAGTAGCGAATGGTCGACCCAAGGATGTCGAACGCGTAGCTGAAATCTACGGTATGGCCAAAGAGCTGCTGGTACTGCATACTCTTGAGAGGCCGGAAACGGCGGAACCTAGGAACTTATCCGGAGACGAGGCCAGTAACCTATCTTTGGTAGCCCTGGCACAATTTGTATCGGACGTGTTAGGTGCGATCGACGATGTGTCCCGGACGGCGTAGAAAGCAGCCTGAAAATCATGATCAATCGGGCCCCACGCGAAGATAATCTGATCGGCGCAGAGGCTCATCACCTCCTGCTACATAGAGCCAAAGACACGCCCGCTCAAGACCCTCGCCGTAGACGTTAGGTATGCTGACCCCGAAGATGCCCATGACCAAGAGCGCACGGTCCTCCTGCCGCTTCGTCTTCCGTCGCGCCGCACACGACATGCGCTGAGCAACGCTCGTCTGTTGTTTCCGTTTCCAAGCTGAGTACCCCCGCAGGATAGTGCGGTCCCTCCCGCAGATTTCGGCGAGGACAGGAGCGAGCACTGCGAGGCGTCCGATGAGCGCCCACGACTTCGCCAGGAAGACGACGTCCGTCGGGGCGAGGAGCTCTTGCAGCGTCCAAGCACGGCTGTGCCACTCGCTCGCTCGGAATTGGGAGTCCTTGTCGAACGGGTGGTCACCGTCATCGAGATCGAACAGATAGACGTAGCAAACGTCCGCGGCCTTGTACCAAGCGTACATCGAGTTGATGGCTTCGGAGAGCTCGGCTCTGCTGGCCTTGTCGATGCAGCATGTATCGAGCCACGCCCAGCCGTAGCCTTGCTCGGCTGCTAGCGAGCAGAAGCTTCGCACCTTCTAAGGGACAGTAGTAGCAGGAGGGGCAGCAGAGACAGGACGGAAATCAGGAAGGGGACCCCAGAGGGATCGGAAGAGCTTGAACGACCGGGAGGCACGGATGCAACGGAAGAAGACGAGCGTGCTGGTTAGAAGCGACAGAGCTTCTGCGCGCGGCACCGATGGCTTGGATACTTTGGAAGCTAAAGCTATGAGTCTCGTCTTCAGGTTCTCAGCGATGAGAGAGGATGGGATAGCGGGAACTCTCAAAGTCGGAGCCCGTGAACGCCCTGGATTCGTATGTTGTCGTGTTAAGCAACTGCATGCCACTAATAGCGGTAGGCGTCTGTGTCGAAACCGACGCAAAGCCATGTCAATAGCCGCCAAACCAACGAAGGGTAGGTCCCAGCGACTCACCAAGATCTGAGTTGAGCACGCTCGAAAGACTGGCAGCAGCTGTTCGTAAGCGACGCGTCTATATGAGCATTCGAAGCTTTCAATAATGGCCACTCAATCACGAATGTCAAAACGATCGGATAGAAAGAAAGACCTATACCTCCCACTCCCGTTCAGGGCTAGATTCGGCTTCTGGGTTTGTCGAAGTGCACGGGGATACTCACAGAGTACACGTTGCATGCATTTCTCCTATCAGGCGACGGCGTAGTGGATGATAGCGTCCTATCACTTCCTATCACTGCCAAGACTATCCATTCCCCAGCGGAATCGACATCTCACCGCACATTCTGCAAGCAGTGCATCCGAGGACGTCTCGTCTTTGCAGGTAGGCGATGCAGCTGGAGCATCGACATGCGGGGTATTACATCCGCATTGTACCGTACTCATCTCTTATACGCTTCGATATCTGTTCGTCCCATGCTCTGGGCTTCGGCGTATTCGGAGTGACACCACACCTAGCATGAGAAATTAGTGAAGCCCCTTCTGGCCACAACAGAGGCAAAGAGGGAACTGCCGTTTAGTCAGTCAATTGCCAGCATATGCAGTACACTCATGGCCCGCCATAGAAAAGTCAGCGCATACAGTGTACCAGCATATGTACCACCTGGTGAACGTGTTGCTTCGAGCTGCATATATGCGTGGTGGGCCGAACTTCGTGTGGCCGGCGAACGCCGAGGAGACCCAAATCAGGAAGGCCCACGCTAAGAGCGCATGATATCGCAGAAAGTGGTCCGACAGACAAAATGGCCCTCTCACGAGCACAGTCTCGACCGACGACGAGGCCGTTGTCAAAGGTGCTCTAGCCACCTCCATCTCCCCCTCAAAAGGCCCATCGACCTTCCGCGATGACCGCTCAGCAACGAACCCGCGACAGAATGTGGTCCGCGTCCTACGACGTCCTCATCGTCGGTGCAGGCATCGCCGGCTCCGCCCTCGCGCACGCCCTCTCCGCCGCTGCTGTCAGACGCAAACGGCCCCTCCGGATCTGTCTCCTCGAACGCTCACTCTCCGAGCCAGACCGCATCGTCGGCGAGCTCCTCCAGCCTGGGGGAATCCTCGCGCTCAAGAAGCTCGGGCTGGAGGAATGCCTCGAGGACATCGACGCCATCCCGACGTATGGCTATTGTGTCATGCTCGCGGGTAGCCCTGTGCACATACCCTACCCCGAGGGCTACGAGGGCCGCGCCTTCCACCACGGCCGGTTCATCCAGCAGCTCCGCAAGAAGGCGAAGGAGGCCGAACGCGTGGAGGTCGTCGAGGCCACCGTGTCGGAGTTGATCGAGTGTCCGCTGACGGGCCGCGTGCTTGGGGTGCGCGCGACGCGCAAGGAGGAGGGCGCGGTTGAAAAGGAGGCGTTCTTCGCTGACCTCACGATCGTTGCGGACGGGTGCTTCTCCAACTTCAGGAATAAGGTGCTGGGCAAGGCGGCGCTGCAGGGGGTAACGAAGGGGCATTTCGTGGGGATGATTCTTGATGACGCGACGCTTCCGATTCCGAAGCACGGGACGGTGATGCTGGTGGAGGGCTCTGGGCCGGTGTTGTCGTACCAGATTGGAACACACGATACGCGGATACTGGTCGACGTGAAGCATCCTCCACCCCCGGACCTGAAGGTGAGTTGTTGCATGCCGTCTTCATGCATACCACTATCCTCAACTATATCCGTGTCCCGCATCTCTTCAGGAACATATCACCAAGAATATAATCCCCCAGCTCCCCGCCTCCCTCCACCTACCCGCGCTTAAAGCGCTCTCTCAAGACCGCCTGCGACGGATGCCCAACACTTTCCTCCCCGCGATCCAACAAGGTACCCAACATACGAAAGAAGGCGTCCTCCTCCTCGGCGACTCGTGGAACATGCGGCACCCGCTCACGGGCGGGGGAATGACGTGCGCGTTCAACGACGTTGTCATCCTCCACGAACTACTACTGGACGACGTGCACGACCTCGCGGACTGGGCGCAGGTGAAGCCGGTGCTGAGGAAGTGGTTCTGGAGACGGAAGCCGCTCGCGTCGACGGTGAACATCTTGAGCGTGGCGCTATACGACTTGTTTGGTGCGGATGGTGAGTCGCGTGCGCTCGAATTCTCTCTGAGCCCTCGCTGAACTGCGCGCGCGCCCTAAAGATCCGCTCCTCGAGGTCCTCCGCATCGGGTGCTTCAAGTACTTCGAACTCGGCGGTGCGTGCGTGCGCGAGCCCGTCAGCATCCTCGCTGGCATCGAGCAGGCGCCCTTCATGCTCTTCCGCCACTTCTTCTCCGTCGCGCTCTACTCCATATGGGTGCTCTTCACGCACCCGCGGCGCGTCGGTACGTCTGCAGACGGCAAGGCAGTGCTCCGCCGCCCGCGTCCGGACGAGTGGCCGTTGTTAGCGGTCAGGAGCATGCAGGTGGTAAGTCGTCCCCGCCGTTGCACGTTGCATGCTACGTGTAGAACGTCGTGAATTCTGATGAAATTCGTCTTTGTAGTTCTACACGGCGTGCGTGGTGTTCCTGCCGCTGCTTTGGACGGAGATTCGTCCATGAGGCCTTACTATCACAAACGACTCGTATGGTTCGTAGATTGTAGCGTATATCTCTGGTGTAATACATACCCCTGGAAGCTCTTAATAGACGGATGGTGTGCTTTCCCACATATGCTCCATTGCCACGCTGCATACGGCGTGGCAGCGCGTCCGCGAGCATATGAGCGAGTCAATTGGGATAGCATCGACCCAAGAAGGCGGAGGGATGGAGCTACTCCAGTGCCAGCTGTACGAACGAGTAACGGGTACGCTCCATAACTCATACACGACCCTGACTCGCGTTGGAAGAGCTTTAGCCACGCTCCATCTGTCAGGCCTGTTAACTGTACGTGTCTCTCCGAGGCACCGGATTACACAGAGCGATAGATGCAAGATGCGCACAAGTTGGGCCGGCAAGCCCTTCTTCAGACAAGGTCTAGTGATGGGCGGCAATCACAATCCGAGGGCAGGCTGCGCCCTACTTGTGCACTTGCAATGCGTGAACGTTGACACGCACTCTTCCCTCATCATTATCCAGACCGAAGACATGGACACTCGCGGGTTCAAAGGACAGCGAAAGTTCTACCGCGAGAGTCATTTACTTATGACGGGACACTCAGTCTGAGACTGCTTAAACCCCAGCACAGCAGGTCAGCTCTACTTTTGGCCCTCAACAGTGGAAACTTTGGACTGTGCGCATGCTCTATGTCCTGCCTAATCTGCGAATCTCTCGGACCCAGCCGGACCCGCTATCGTCGGTCGCTGTGCAGCTTCATGCGTGACGACCCACGCGCCTACGGGTCATATCATAACGTGCACGCTATCAGAGCAGAGGTGAGATGACGATGATTCTGCGTCGTGTCTCTGGTCCTATGATCTTGATAGCGGGGATCGCAGTTCGCTGCGCGCTTACTGGGGCTTGTGGGAGTATATCGCCCACGAAGTGTTCCACGACGTATGCGATCTCCCTTTGCCTTGGCCCGGTAAGTCCTGAGGATTCTGGTGCCGCGGCGGGAACTCGCTCTTCCATCGTAATACCCCTCCAATCTGGTGAGTGAACAGAGCTCGACTCATGCGATCTCCCTGTCCTACACTCGCAAACTAGGTATCGCAGGCGCCAGCATGTGGCTCCTACACACGACGACCTTCGTGTTGCGAAAATTTGTCGGTCCTTCGTACCCGCCCTACGCCATCCTCTCCCATCGTTGGCAGGCCGAGGACCAGACATACAGCTTCCAGTCCGTTCGAGCTGTTAGCGCTCAATCCGAAACTCCTGGCCAGGGACCTGCACTCTCCTTTCCTGGGAAAGTGCGCAACTTCTGTGCTCTGGCTGCCAATGAATGCTACGAGTGGGCGTGGCTTGACACATGCTGCATCGACAAGACCAGCAGCGCCGAGCTCTCCGAAGCCACCAACTCGATGTACGCCTGGTACGAGGCCGCGGACATCTGCTACGTCTACCTCTTCGACGTCTGCGACGAGGACAACCCGTTCGACAAGGACTCCCATTTCCGTAAGAGTGGATGGCGCAAACGGGGCTGGACGCTTCAGGAGCTTCTCGCTCCGAAGAACGTCGTCTTCCTGTCGAAATCGTGGTATCTCCCTGGGACGCTTCCCATCCTCGCTACGCTCCTCGCCGAGATCACCGGAGTAGACCTCCCCATGCTCCATCAGAAGCTCCATGGCTGGAGGACGAACACAGGTGTCGCGCAGCGCATGTCATGGGCCGCGAGACGTACCACGTCCCGACCGGAGGACCGCGCATACTCGCTCATGGGGATATTCGGGGTCTCCATGCCCGTCATCTATGGCGAGGGTGGCGAGCGAGCGTTCTTGCGACTTCAAAAGGAGATAATCAACGTCTGTCCTGACCAGAGCATCTTCGCGTGGGGTCCGATAGACCCTGACTTCGACGCAGCTGTTGAGTACCTTCAGCGCGATGACCGTGACTGGGGAGAGCACATGTATGCAGGTGACCACAGACTGTTGGCTACGTCTCCGGATGTGTTCAAGTTTGCGGCAGATTTTCGGCCGCTCGCTCTAAGTCGGTACTTCCAACTCCTTGGCCATCGCCCTGACTACAATTACGGATTTGACGCCGACGGCATAACACTTCGTCTCCCAATCTCCTCTGACTGCCTTCGTTGTCACTCGCAGGCCGTGTATGCGGCAGCGCTTGCTTGTACTACCGCGACTAACGAAGACATCCTCGTATTCCTTTTCCTTGGGCGGGAGGTAGACTCCGCTCTCCAAGAGTGGACCTTCGACTCGGTCGGGCGATTAGTCGGACTGGACAAGTACGTAGAGCTGACGAGAAACATGTGGGACACGGTACCGCGGATGCGCGGCGCGATGTTGCGACTACCTCGACCTGAATTGGCCTATACCTCCCTCCGAGAGTTGAGGATCAGGCCTCCCGACACGGTCGGACCTATCAGGACTGACCATCTCAAACAGCTCTGCGGTGTCTACTTGTTCGAAATACCACACTGGTTTCTCAGCCATATGAAGGATCGTTATGGATTCGCAGTTCCGGACACTGAGCTTGCTGCCCACCTCGTGTCTGGGCGCATCCTCTACACGCTGCCTACGAGCGCTCTCTACCCTTACCTAGACGCTCATCGCTTCCTCTCTATCCCGTTCATCAACGCCGCACGCAACGAGGCCTTACTGATATCCTTCGGTCTGGGGTGCCTGTGCCTACCGCTGCACAAATCAAAACTCGACACTCTCGACCACCGCGCTTGGTGGCTCGAGGCGTCCCTCGTTCCAGGCGTACCCACCGAGCTCCCCCAGCACGCACAGGTCCCCGAGACCCCCAGAAGCAGGTCGCCTACCCCAACGGATGAGCTCGAGAAACCATTCTTTAGGCGTATGCTCATTCAGAGTAGCCGGTGCTCAGCTCATCACATCTTCGTGAGAGATGACCACTCGCCTCGATTCGTCTTTCCCGTGCCTCATGTTGGCAGAACTTGGGAGCGGACGGTCCATGTCTCTTCCTCTTTTCGCATACAGAGCGAAACGCTGCTTCTCCCCAGGACAGGGCGTTTCACTATTACGATTGACCTGGTTGGCTTTGACACGGTAGAAGGGCCCGCGCGACCGTCATTGGATTCTGGTTCACGCTAGCGCAGCGCTTCAGCTTAACCCGAGTCGCAAGGTCTTGAGCTTCGACTGTGGCAGGTACAGGAATGGAGTTTGTTTAGCCTGTAGGCTCAGGAAGCGCAGACGTTGGACGGTTCAGGCGATGGGCGGTCGACTCGGACTTACCACAATTGATGAAAGATTACGGCAGAGGCTCTGTACGATCCTCCTACCCCTTTTCCTATATCAATGTTGTCTTTCCGGGTTGCCTATCTCTTCTACCATTGCATTCTGCTCTAGATGTCGACCGCGTTTCGTACTTACTATCTCGATTTATGCGATCCCGACGCCGGGGGTCGGCGTGTCCAGCCCTCAATGCGATGTAGTAGTCGGGTTCTCCATGCGAAGCATAGCAGGAGGCCTGATATCACTGCCCGTTGGTACCCATCAGTCACAGTGCAAGGGCAGTCTCTAGCTGACGTTCACATCAACTCACCAGGGCTCAAGGTGGAGCCGGCGACCTGCGTCCACGCGAGGCGTTATCTCGAGTCCAGCCGTTCGAGTCACGGAGTCATACCGCGGTGTTAGTGCTTACCGCTTTCTTGCCCGTTATTCGTATCCCTATCATGCAAGCGAGGTTGACATGTTGTCCGAGCTTTTTGAACCAGTGCCTGCTTGCTTTGGTAAGAAAGGCGCACAGAAACAGACCGAGGGTTGGGCGCGGCGAGGAGCACCTCCACGCGTTGGTGGAAAATCTATGTGATGTACGGTATTCCGGTCACGTATAACATACGCTGGAGTGAGAAGAGGGTTTTTGAAGATGAGGCGCGAACCATTCTACTCGATATCGTGTATACCTGAAGTGAAGGAGGACGGCTTTGAAGAAACAAAAGAATCATACGCAGAAGTTTCGGAAAGTACTATAAAAAGGAGGAAGGGAAACAGGAGGGTGCATCATCATGGTACGGTCCAATAGCGTACCTTCCAGGTTAGACCGCCTCCGTCCCGCGCCGTGGTATACGTTTCAGCCATCGTTCGTGGACCCTGACCCGGAGGCCAGGTCGTTGGGTCCGCCGACCAATTTCTGCCAATCTAGGAGGCTAGATCATCCCTACAGCAACAGTAACGGGGATGCCTGGTCCAAAAGACAGGGATCTTGCTTGAGAGGCTCACCTGGATACCTCAGTGCGGCATCGGATGGCGCATAAGCTCTCGAGCATTGGACCTTCGTAGGGGGATCCGAGTCCAGGAAGGAGGTGTCGGCCCCGAAGCTGTCAGCAGGAAGCGCCATCTCGCACAAGTGGCTCCCTCATTCCCGGATGAAGGCTGGTATACGTAGGACGTCAGTCGGGCTGTAACTGGGAGAAGTCCGTAGAGAAGCGAGGCGTACTTCTGAGTCCGACTCAGACACCGGTTCGGGCCCGCAACTTGCCTGCAATGCTGCCTGGATGCGCCGCGTGCCGGAAGGTCGTTGTCAATTCGGTGAAGCGTATTGGGGCTCGGACGGGGTTCGGCGCTCCAGAGGCGTCCCTGTGGCCCGATAGAAACACATCCAGCAGTGGAGATGCGCCAGCGACGGGAGAGAAGAACATGGGCAAAGAGACAGACTAGGAGACGGTGAGACAGAAACGCGTATGTCTGGCAATGAAGCAGCGGTCGGCGCGAGGTATATCCACTCGAGAACGTTCGTGATCTCATATGGTGGAGTTGCCGCGCAAAGCAATGCTTGTCGTGGCTGCTTGAGTCCTATTCCTGCTACTTGTTCTATGGAGTTGCGAAGGAAGGCAAAACCTTTGCTGATGTGGATGTTTTCCGTGGTTGTTTATGCTCGACTTCCCTCGAGAGTGTTCCACGCAAGCAGGGGCACGAGAGGAGAGGGTTAGTTGGTCGGACCTTCGTATCGACGGCTGCCTCATTGTGTTTCCCCGAGATTGGAAGACAATTTCCATGTAAGGTTGTCATGGAGCAAAGTTGTCGCAAAGCACATTTTGAATGAGGCATCGCACCTCCTTGAATGTCGTTTGGGGTCCGTATGACCTCATGAGAGCATTGGTTAGCCTTTGCCGTTGGGGTGAGAAGCAAAGTCGAAGAGGCTTGAATTGGAAATGAAGAGAATGCATTGTGGGTCGACGGCCATCTATATGGTTGACAACCCCCGAGCTTCACTGAATGTTGAACCGGGTGATGCACTAGTATCAGGTCAGCGTGTTACTCTTTCAGCGATGAGCTCTCACCCATGCGGAACGTACGGACTTAGTAAAATCGCAGTTGATCGTTCGCTGAAAAGCTTTGGGAAGCAAGGGATACTGTACAGTGCTGCAGAGGTAGTTCTGGCGAACGACTCCCGCGCAGGGACAAACTCGGATCTTGCAACTGGGTCTTGTCAATCTGTACATCGAGTCCATAAGAGTACACTGCGATACCACTTCGAGGTTGTTCTTTCCCTATAGAGCATTGCCGCTTCGAATGGGGTATGCGACAGTTACTTCTCGCATGAGGATGAAACAGGGTTCTGCCAATTGGGCTCACTATCGTAAATCTTACCTGATGTTCTGCATAGGAGTCGCGAGCAGCCCAATATGCTCGAAGCGACGACGTACGATGACGCACCTCAGACAAACAAACAAAATTCTGTGCCCCTTCCTAAACATATAAGAGCCAGCTGAGACGACGACGAGTTCCAGCAGCAACTCAGCCATTCAGCTTTACATCCTCGACCCATCTACCCTCAAGTACAACAAGCAGTGTGTTTCTCACTGTCCCCCTCAACGGCCTCGGCTCGTTACTCACCTCGCTACCGCAGATTTCAACATGCGCTTCACCGCCGTCGCCAGCATTGTTCTCGCCGCCGGCGCCGTCGGCCTTGTCAACGCCGCGACCCTTGAACAGCGCCAGCTCGGCTCTTGCTCTACCTCCGTGCTGGGCGATCTGAAGTTGCCCCTCTGTGGGGCTATCTTCGGTGACTGCACCGGCGACGGGTGCGAGTGCACAGAGCTCACCACCGCGGTTGTCGACTCAGTCCCCGGCCTCAGCAGCATTTTGAGCATGCTGAACATCACCGGCACACTGGATCTTGGGGACCTTGGGGTGAGTACGCGTGAGGTGGTGCAGCAGCGTATTCGAGCAAGACTGACATGTCTGCACTCTGGACAGCTTTGCACCAGCGGGGATAGCGCCGCCTGAGCGCGACCATTAGAGGCGTTCGTCTAGTCAAGAGATGCGGCCGGCGATTTCTGTAGCCAGCTGACGATGTGAATCTATGTAGTCAGTGAACAATTGCGTATGAGTAAGACTGTACAATCTGTTGATATGAAAGGAGATTCGTTCGCGAGAGTTGTCTGAACCTGGTTGAATCGGAATTCGCGAGTTACCCGTACCCCAAGGTATTACATATCCTGGTTCGATCCACTCGCCGGGCTCCTCGGACTCGTTGCAGCTTGAGCAGAGCGTCGATGACATTGTTCACGTCCAACACGTGGCGGCGCCTGAGCTTCCAAATCTGGAAGCGGTGGCTGACGGCCTATAGGCAAACTTCAATTCATCGGAAAGGCATCGTATACGTGGCTACGTACGCCACGGGCAAACCGTTTCCCAATGGAGTGCAGTAGCTGTGCAGTAACGAGAAGGGGAAATGGTGACCGTAAGAGAATGAAGGTGAACTCCGACTGTCGCCGGGAGTCATGCGCGAGGCAGGCTCGGCCTTTGCTGTGCGGCTCCGTTGCGTCGTTTCCACGAGCGCAAACACATATTGGCATCGTGACGTCCGTGTGACCCAGCTGCGCTGGTGGGTGCAGCTGTGTCCCGTATCCAAGCACGGTGCGTTGTTTTTGCGAGCTATGCATTCCATGAGCGACCACCGCGGAGCGTCGGGATCTTGCTTGTACCATCTCGGTATAGAACACGTTCCTTGTGTGACACAGACCGTGATTACGTGGCTCACGGGTTGCGGTCCCAAAGCCCATGCATATGCCCTAGTAACCCCTGCACAAATGTCGAGTCAATGCGGCGATGGCAAGAAAGGACAGACTGCGGTTGGAGGATGTAAATGCGAGAAGCTTCTTTGTTACCTTGGTCGGACTAGAGCGGTGGGCGTTGCGAGCCACCAGGAGACATTATATGATCGGTGATGGATTGCGTATGAGCAGCCCCGTGAATCCTGTTGGATGAAATTTTGGCTTGCCGCAGTGTTCGTCGTGGCTGTTCACGGAATTTGACTAGCAGTGGGCTGGCTAAACCCGCCTTCCGTTAATATGGGTCGACTGTATAAGCTGTATCAGTATATGTGATGGAGGCAGAGACTGCGCTCGCATGGCAGTGTGCGGTCGAGATATATTATGCAAAGAGAGAGGAAAGACGAACGCGTCGCGTCGCGAAGAGGCGCCGGAGAAACGGCCCGTCGCTCATTAACTTTCGGCGCTCCCCGAAGGACAAGCCAACGGGACCGCGTTACGCTTGCATTCTCGTAAGTACTTTTACTTGATTGCCTATCAAGCTTCTCCCGTACAGGCCTGTAGGCTCTCCGCCATGTCAGAACACCAAGAGCCGACTAATCTATTCGCGGGCGACGTATACAGTACTGCTTTGATATGTGCAGAAGGTGAGTCCTATGCGCACGGTTCTTGGCCGAAGCTCCCCGAACTTGATCATGACTGTAAAACAACAGGATATGGCAGGCGTCGGAGCGCTTCCTAGATAGGAGCACGATCCAAGAATGCCTGAAGAGCACGGTCGGGCTCTTCCCAATGCACCTGAATATTCAAATGTCCAAGGTCAGCATAGTGAATTACTCTCAGAGATTCCCCGGCAGGCTCACTGCAGGTTCCGATACTCACAAAATGGTTTGCACCACGCAGACGCACGAAAGTCACGTTTCGAAGCTTCTGCCCCGCGTTCTTCTTCTCCCGAAGCTCCTCCTGAAAGCTCATCATCGCCCAAGGCATGACCCATGACGACGACCCGCAACACACATGACGGACTTCGACGGCATTCCAGGGGCTCTGTTCTGCTTTCGCGGGCGATAGGATAAGCGCCTCCTCGTGCAAAGTGGCGAATGCGCCGGAAACCATGCCTGTGACCATTATGGTCAGGTCCGAGCCACCTCGAGGGTCGGCCGGCACAGAATGTGCAGCGGCCCCACGCTCTTCAGTGCTCAAAGTCGTGAGGGTAGGCGGAGGCGAGGCGAGGGCGTCGCGAAATGTGAGCGTGTCTTTGGTGTCTCCATGCTGGTAGAAGCCGCTAACCCACAGATTGAATTCGTCAACGAAGTCCTCGGCTAGGATCGAGGGATCGGCAAACGGTGTGTAACCGTCCTCGATAAGGGCGTAACCCAGTGCCAGAGAGGGGGGATCTTGATCCGAGTCAAGTGTCACCTTGATACTGATGGCAAGGGGAGTGCACGTACCATAGAAGACAACACGCCGGACGTACTTGGATAGATCCACATTGTCACGGCGGAATGACTCGGTGCTTGCGAGGAAGGCAGTCATCCAGCACGTCCCAAGAGACCACCCCGCGAGCACGATCCCTCCTGTGCTATTTTCTGACCGAGAGAGGGGAATATTGTTGGTGGCAACAAAGCTGACCAGCAGATCATGCAGGTCGTGGCCCCCATTCTTCATGAACGCTACCATCTTCGGCTGCGCTGCGGCAGGGTCGGCTTGCGATTCGATGCTAATCGTCAAAAGGTGTGCTCGCTCCTCCGCCGTATAGGGTACTGCTCCTGGATAATCGCGCCTGTTAACCAAAACCAGCCGGACGTTGTACTTGTGTGCGAGCGGTATCAGTTTCCCGAAAACGCCTGATAGGGAGAGCATGGCACGTCAAGGAGATATGACAAAACTTTTGAATGGGCGAGGGCGCACCACTGTGCCATCCAAGACCGTGAAGCAAGACGATTGTCGTGTAATCGGTGCTCTCCGGGGGCGCGCCAGAATCGCAAAAGACGTGAAAGCGAGTCGCAGCCTGCATGAGAAGGATTATCAGAGGATGGAGAGAGATGATCTGACTGGAAAACTTGCACGCTATGCCTTATGTATTTGGAGAGCGACTCGGTCCCATATGGACCGCCCGGAGCTTCGGCGGTAGCGTCTGTCGCTAAGATGACCAGTTTACTCATGCTGGTGCCACTGTCGGAATGACAGTACTGTCGGATGCGGTACCAGGGGAGGAGATCTGTCCGCATGAAGACGAGTTCCAAACAGGTCCTCCAGAACAGCAATCCTCTTGCCAGCCTGAAACCTACACATGTAAACGAGATGCATGATGGGTAAGGTACACTTCTCGGCTGCATCCGATACAGCGTTCCCCAGAAACGAGTAGCTTTGAGACACTGCAGAGTCCGATGAACTATCGGAGGGGAGGTAGCGTGAAGAACTGGTCAGTGATGGTGAACTTGCAGATGTTTCGCCGCAGACTTTCATGAGCGCCTAACACTGTCGGACCCAGTTAGCTTGTTGGATCGGCGCCCGATTCCTCGCAGGAGCTGACAGTACACAAGCTGCGCTCCAGGCACGCAATGAAGTCTTATGCCTGCTTGGTTGGCCCGATTGCAAAAGACCAACGGATGGAGTCGCATGACACGCCTCATCCCGGGGAGATGAGTATTGCTAGGGAGCAAATCTTGAGGTTACTCCAGTCGGACCGAGTCGAATGCTTGAGAAGAGGAAGCTTACCGGGGTACACTTTGCGGAAGCTGAAACGGCCTTCACCCCGGGCCTGACACAGCAGTCCAAAAGGTCCCTCTAGCCTGTTGGACGGGTACACTCCACGCCGGCCGTCATTAGTGCGTTCCTTACTATGCTCACCAGGAACGACGTCTACGTCGCATGGCCATTCACACTCTCCGATGCACGTTACGTCTCGGGGATAGAGATTGCACTCCGCCCATTCGCTATGCCACCGCATGTTTGGAATCTCCGATAAAAATGTAGTGGTGCACGTAACCTCTCGACTGAGCAGGCTCAGTAGAGACATTGCCACGCAAAGCAGGATAATGTCATAAGCGTTAGCGCACTGAGTGTTTGTCGCAAAAAGACACTCACAAGTGGCCTCCTGTGATTTGAATGTGACATAGCTGTCAATGTCTCAAGTCAGTGATTCTCGTATTGCTCCTTCACGACAAGTCGACGCACCAGCCGGTCAAGAGTCTCGTATCTATTCGTGGAGTAGGTGATCGGCTTCTCGCAAGCGCATGTCGGGCTCTGCGTCACAACAAATTCCTCTACTACCGAAATTGGAGTGTCCGCGGGGACAGGTCGCAGCACCTCGAGCAACGCGGAGACAAGCACACGCTTCCCGCGTGGCGCTACCCGGTATCTCTGGTCGTCAAGCCCCCGCTCGATGAGAGGATGGCGCTTCTGCCAGTGCTTGAGGAAGCCGAATTTGCTCACGACGGCGACAAGGGAACGTCGAGCAAACGATAAGAGCGTCGGCGCAGTCAAGAAGATCAGCGTCGGCTGAAACTCCCTTGAGAGGCAGGAGGTCGTACGAGTACTAGCTCACAGGTGAGGACAAAACGTGAGGGGCGGAACCTGAGAGTCGCCGATGTTGTCCATGGCAGTGTCGACATCGCGCTTCCGACGCGACTACCGCATTTGTATTCATACCAGCCGAAGTCCTTGACTTCATGCCACTCAGTCGATATCCTCCAAGGTCATTCTCATGGAAGTGTTGTCTGAACTCCGGACAATCCGCTCCATCGAGATGGAAAAAGGTGCTTCGCGCACTCACAAAGCTCCGATACGGGGAATCGAACCCCGAGCTACCGCGTGAAAGGCGGTAATGTTAGCCGTTACACCATATCGGAGTCAATCCATTTCCTTCTCTAGCTACCCACGACATGGATGCGTGATCCCAGCCCGGAGGGTCGCATATGTGAATACAATACAATGTCTTGTCTGCGGTCCTCGAGGGCCACGTCACAGCATAATACCTCGGGACAAAAGATTACCCCAGGGCCAAGCCATTGAGTAAGACAAGTTGCGCATCAACCCAGCCTGCCTGTCAGGCCAAAGGCGCTGACGGAATACTACCGCTCTCCCCTCCGCTCGCTCACCACGGCCTCCATCCACTTGAAGACGACCCTCTCGAGCATGAGCTCCCACCCCTCCTCCATGCGTGCAACGAGAGGTGCGTCGAAGATGATGGCGTCGTCTGACGCAAATCCCGCGGGGAAAGTGATTGTAGAGGCTATCGGTGAGACAACGGGTGTGCCACCTCCAGGTGTTCCGGGCCGCGTGTTTGCGTCTCTCCGTTTGCCGCCAGGCATGGCGATAGGCAGGGAATACCGGAGCTTCAGAGCACTAGATATCGGGTGCTTGTGAGCCCTGAGCAGACGCATGAACGAAGACGCACTCACGCTGCCCATAGTCGCAGGTTGTCTGTGCGACGAAACGTCCATCCGCGCTTCCCTGCCTCGCACCCATCACCGCCTTGCGCCTCTTCTAGTGCCGCGATGTCGTGTATCGCGTCCTTGCTCACGTAGCCCCATGGTTTTCGTGACCTGCGAACTGCAGTGTTGTAGGCATTGCAAAGTAATTGGCCGGACGACAAGGCTCGTAGAATGTCGGCGTGTTCTGATGAGGACATTGGCAGCAATCGCAGTAGTGTTGCGGGCAACAGCGCGACGAGAAGTGCATGTAGACGGCCTGCAGGAACTTCAACTCAAGGACGGACGCACTGATTAAGAGCGCACTGACCATAATCATCGTCAGGGAATGTTGACCGCTTCGCCCAAGGAGGAAGCTCATCGTCGTCGATCGCCTCTTCCTCCTCTATCGACTCCATCTCCTCCGGTTCCTCGGTCACCACCATATTCCGCATCGCGTCAAGCATGCCAGTCGACACAACACGACGCTTCGCTCGCCCGGAGCTCTCACCAGAGCTCATAGCGTCCCCAGCGCTGACCCTCCGCCCCTTCGCTCGCGCCTCCCTCTCCATCCTCTCCTTCCTTTCCACCCGCTCCTTCTCGCGCTCCCACCCCCTCTGACCGTCCTTCGGACCCCCAAAGAGCACCTCGTCCACCGCGTCGAGGTACTTGCTCACTATCTCCCGCTCCTTCTCCAGATCCTCCATCCTCAGATCCTGCTTGTACAACCACCCTCCGCCCAGGACCAGTCGCTCGTCCCACCTCTCGCGCTTCTCCCTATCCTCCTCGCTCAAGTGATTGAAGTCGTCCGACTCGTCGTCCCACACCGGCACCTGCCGTTTCCTCCCTCCAACATCAATAAACGAGACAGACACAGACGTGTCTCCGTCCGCGAACTCGCCGTCCTCGAGGTGCGACGACGGCGACGTCCCACGCGACGCCGGGCCCACATTCGTGTCGTTCGACGACGACCCGTGATCGCTCTGCGCGTCGTACGCGTCATGGTCGAGTGGCAGCCGTGCGCGTTCCTCCAGCTCGCGCAGGACCGCGAGCACCTCCAGCGCGCGCCCGCGAATGCGCGTCAGCGGATCGTGTGGGGAGTTCGGCTGCGACACCTGGCGCTTGGGTAATGGGGAGCTGGAGAGGGTGTTCGGGCGGAAGTGCGGGCGGTTCTGCGGGACGCTCTGGTCGTCGGGGAGGGAGACGAGGTAGTTCCGGACGCTCCGGACGGCGCGGGTCGTGTTCTTCAAGAGGTCGAGGACGTCGACGTTCGAGGAGGGCCTGTTGTGCTTACCGCCGCCGACCCCGAGCAGGTTCGGGTCCTGCTCGCCCTGCTCCTGCTCCTTAGGCTGCTGCTGCGAGTTCGGGTTGAGCACCCAGCCAGCCGCGACGGAGATGAGGTCTTCAATCACGGCCGGACGCAGGTTGTCGGGATCGGTCTCGAGCGTCTTCACGTACGGGGGAAACGTCGGATGAACAGCCTGCGGAATCGCCGGGGACGGGGGCAACACGAAAGTGGGCCCACCATTATTCGGTCGTTTCTCTAGCGTGGCGAGCCCACCGATCGCGGGCACCAGCCCGCTTTTCGGTTTCTTCAACGGACTTGCCGGTGGTCACCACTTAGCTCAAGATGAGAGAGATGGAAGGACGTACTCGCTCTCAGCAGCAATCCCCGTCTTGGTGAAGTAGTGCTGCAGGTATTCAATGCTGCCCAGCGCCATGACACTCTCCCGCTTGGCCGCGCTGCGACTGAACGGCTTCTGGGGTTTGTTCATGCTGTTCATGTTCGGGTAGAACGCGACCTGTCGCCGCTTCTTCTGCTGGCTGCTTCCGCTGGTGTCTGTGGAGGGGGAGTCGGGCGTCGGCGTCGTTGAGACATCGGGCGGGGTATCCATGGATCGTGAGGTATAGCTCTAGTTTGTGAAATGGAGTAGTAGACTTGAGATGCTGGGGCTACAGATAGGTTGCTATAGACACAAAGAAGATCGCGGACCAGGAAGGTGTAGATGAAGCTAGAGTCGTGAATAGCGTGAGCGTAACTTGGCGTAGCGGGACCGATGGTGGTGCAGAGCGAACAGGCGCGAAGACAGCGCTCCCGAACTTGGGAGTTGCCCTGATCTCCGAGGCTGGCTACATCATCACCGGCCGCTTTCGCAGATCTCGCGACCATCATTTGCTACAAAGTATGCGCCCACGGGCACTGTATTACATATCAAGCCATCGCACAACGACCACCATGTTCAGACTCGGAGTTTCGAAGGAACCGCTGGTGTGTCGGCCTTTCTGACACAGCAACCCTGAACCTACAGGCTTGTAAGTACCATATTGTCCCACCTTCCTCGTGTTTTCCAATTTGGATCGATCAGATTTCTCAGCTGCTGAAAGAGAATGGCCGGTCATGTCCCGCGTTCCGGCGAGACTTCGGGGGCAGCTGCATCGTAGTGCTTGACGTCTACGATAACCCAGCGCAAAACTGGGGACAGAGGAAGTCGTTCGCCGCCAACGAGCTGCTACCATTTCGATGCCTCGCGCTTCATCATCTCGCGCGCGTGCGAAGCACTCCTAGCGGACGACAAAGGTGACGTTGTCGAACCCCCCTCATTACAAGGGCCGCGAATGATCGTATAGCTCTCCAACCAGGGATCAGTGGACATGTCATGCAACTGGGTTGCAGGTGAATGCAAGGGCGGAGGTAAAGGAAAAGGATGTCAGCCCAGCGTTCCCTTCGGTCTTCGCTCGAGTCAAGCAAGCCGAGCACGAATATGTACATATGTCCCGGTGAACATCAATATTCCAGCTGGTTGAGTCCTGGTCCGCGTCCGAGCCAGCAGCTTCGGAAGATCCTGATGGCTGCGATCCCGAGTGCGGCCAAGGAACTTTACCCGAAGGGAGGACCCTTGAGGACTTCTACCAGCATCACAACCAAGAAGCAGCTGAAACATGTGCGTGACTTGACTGACACCACTGCGGAAACACGAATCCCCGTCTATCCAATTCATGGTCGACACGCGTGACAGGGCGGGCCATATGTTAGCGACCAAGTATCTCAATCTCAACGTTCAGTCCCACAACTCCTACACGAGGTGGCACGGGTCAAAAACAGGACGGACGAATCACGCTTCGGAGAATGCTCCTCGTTACCCCTCCCAGGTGTAAGTTCCGCAACGCGAGGCACGCACATGTTTACTAGACTAGTAACAGACGATAACCCTTCTCTGACCCTCTTCTGAATACAGATATTCGCTGAACCTCTCGGAGTCGTGCTCTGGTAAAGATCCCATCCCGATACGAACGTAGTGCTCTTCTACGCGACGTAGGAGCAATAGCTCCTGTTCCCACCACATGATGGAAATGCCTCGGGCGAGAGGGACGCACGTAATCATCAACCCTGTTTCCGTCACTGAATCAAGCCGTACAGTGATATTCGCAGGGCTTCCGTCAGGGTAGACCAGTTTTCTCCCTCCGTCAAGGGTCTCCGTAAGTCGTAGCTCGAGTGCTCTTGCATCAATCTCTACCGCGGTATTGCTCGTGACCTCTGAATGGCTCGATATCCTGACAGTGACGTCTGGAAGTGGTTCGCCGAGTGCCGGCCAGGTCACCGGCCATAGGTTCAACCACGACCACGAAGGGAACAAGCCATCCGGAGCCTGATCGCGGGAGAACTTGACGAGCATCTTCTGGGCTCTATCGGTCTTCAGGTCCAGATACCAGAGCAACTCTGTGTGGAGATTCGTTCTGATGTGGCCTCCGCTGTCGATCCCACCGATTACGTCGTTGAGCACTTTCGCTGTACCCATGATCGCGCGCCTCCTGTCGAGCGCATAGGTCAAGGAACGCGTCGAGTACGTGTCCCGGATGGTGTTCCATCGTGCCAGGAGCCACCTGTCGTCGATGCCACTCGCAGAACCTCCAACATCAGAGGCAGCACCCTTCTGCGAAAGGTACCTCCGGATGGCATGGCGGAAGTGGTGTGGGTCGTACATCTCGGACGCGCTCCCGCTGTAGCCGCTGTCCGGGCGCGACATCTTCCTCCCGCACCACAACACCATGCGCTGCGGGCTGAACTCGAGGCTGCGCGTTGACAGTATCTGCTCCTGGAACGTCCAGCCCCGCCATATGTAGCACCGCTTGTCCGCAAGCGCGCCGTGCTTCTCCTCGTACTGCTCATCAGGGTGGAACGTCCATGCGCCGACACACAGCCCGTTCGCCGCCGCCACTTCGGAATCCCAGCTACAGTCGGAGTTGCCGATCCGGCCGCGCGGTACAGATACGCCTGGGAGCCCGGTATCAGATGAGCGGCTGCCGCGCGCCGCGATCGTTGTGGTGGCGAGCGCATATATTGCACCCATCTGCGTCAGCTGGTCCTCGAGGTCCTCGCGCGAGTCTTGGACGATGCACAGTGCGTCCACCCAGAGGAAACGGTACCCCAGCGCGCGCGTCACGAGCATCGCGTCCACGATCGTCTTCGGCAGTCTCTCCGCACCAGTGCTCGTGCTCTCCGGGAGGCGTCGCTTGAACGCCGCGAGGTTGGCGGTGACCATACGCAGCTGGTAGGCATCGCTGCCCCAGACGTAACTCAGCGCGACGTACTCGAGGGGGACGGGGAGGAGGATCTCGTCCAGCTGCACAAGCCGCCAGAGGCGCACGTCGATGAACCGCGTCCGCGGGTGGAGCGTCGCAGTAGCACTCCCTTTTATGAGAGGGCCGCAGTCCAGATGGTTCTGCGTGCACGCGCGAAGCCAGCACCGCGCAAGCGCCAGATCGGCCCATGTGGCAACCACGCCATGCGCGTGAGCATCGGGTTCGCCGTTCGAGTCAGCTTTGGGAGGGTGCATGTCGAAGGACTTGGAACCCCGGATGTATAAGGGCTGCTTGAAGGAATTGCCGTACCAAGTATCGCTGATGGAGGCCTCGAAAACGGCAAGGTCTAAACCCTTGTGTTCACGGGGTGCGTCCTCGACTTGCTCCAGAATCTCGACGCGGATGGCACGCCTGTGTGTTGTATTCAGAGGTACGGTGTTCGGTGGGTCCGCTAGAATTGGGGTCAACCTGTCCACGATATCCACATGCAGGGCACGGAAGAAGTCGCAGACGTTACAGCCAGGTTGGTTGGGGAGAGCCGGAAACAAGAAGTAAAGGGTCGTTCCAGAGCAGATGTCCGAGAAGTCGAGAGACCAACATGAGACACAGAGTCTTCGAATAAGAGCCATGGAACCGGCGTCAAGTTGCGGATTCGGTGTAGGACTTCGTGCTTGCAACGGCTCGAGCGTAGATTTCTCGGGTGCCAATGTGTCCATGCCGTCGCCGGAAAGACAAGGAAGGACTGCTTTCATGCTACGCAAAGCTTCCTTCGTAGTGTGCTTCAGCATTTTCCAATCAATCTTGCGCATTGTGCAAAGAGGGGAGAAGGTGGCGAGGCCGGGGGGGGGGGTAGTGTGACTTTACACGTTCCATAGACTGTAGTGGGTACTACGGACCTGATGTGACTACGAATTTGCAAATTCGATTATGCTCGTCGTCAAGATGCAGATTGAAGGCAACGCACCTCAATTCAGACACGTCTGACGTAGCCTTGAAATTGAGAGAGAAGTACAGAAACAGATACTTATGCACTCCGCCATAGCATGGACGCCATGAGGCACCGGGTCCGACAGCCAAGATTCGATTGCCCGATCTAAGCACATAAACTTGCGTAACGCCGGCCAGCGTCAGGTGGACACAGCAGCAAAGGGGAGGAACATAATGGGAGAGCGAGTGAGGATGTATTTTAGGGCGTGATTACGGTAAATAAGTGAAGTCACATAGCATGTCAAAAGCGACAGTCCTCGCCATAGCGACAATCCAATCTCGGAAGCATCGTAAGGTACGCGACACGGGGACGACGACACAACGACACATCCAAACTCAGATCATCCTAGCCATCTGACCAAGCTGGGCAGCCATGTCGGGGTACGCGTGCATGAACTGCACCTGAGCATCGGTCGCCTGAAGATGAAGGAAAACATGCATGTGATTAGCGTCAAGGCCCCGATGAAGACGACAACGTAACGCTGCATCTCCGGACATTGCATAGTCGAGACACCACTCACGTATTGGTAAGTCAGCGCACTGATGAGCTCCGGCTCGCTCCTCGCCAACTGGCTCTGCTTGTCGAACATCTTGATCGCGACGTCGATCTTGCCCTGCTGCAGGCTCAGTTGCGCGAGCGTCGCGACCGCCGCCTCGCACTCGGGGTCGATCTCGAGCGCCTCCTGGCAGCACTTCTCCGCCGCCTCGATGTCCTGCTTCCACTGGAAGAGCGCGAGGCCCTTGTTCACCATCGGGAGGACGTTCATCGGAGGCGGCCTGTCATAAAAGCAAGCGCATTGTCAGATTGGGTCAAACGGACGCGCAGATCAGCAACTCGATAAGGGATTAGACGTACTTCGCGCGTTCAATCTCGATCGCACGGTCGAACTTCTCGATCGCGTCGGGGTAGCGCTGCTGGTCCAGGAGCAGCTCGCCGCTAGAACGCACGGTCAGGCACATATCTCTGAAAGAGACAAGGACGAACGTACTAGTAGTTCTGCGGCTCGCTCCGATCCGGGAACGCCTTCAACGTCCTCCTGAACGTCGCCATGCTATTCGCCAAGTTCCCGCTCTTGTACTGCGCCACGGCGAGCTGAATATGGCTGAACACGAACTTGTCATCCAACTCCGTGCTCTTCGTGTAGTTTTCCGCCGCCTCCCCAAACTCGTTCATGATGAACAGCACCTGACCCCGATGATAGTAGATATCGGGATCGTTCGGGTTGTGCTTGATCGCCTCCTCAAAGCACTCGAACGCCTTCTTCGGGTCGCCCTGCTCCATCCACACGCTCGCAATCTTGACCCACGTCTGCGTCAGCGACGGCTCGTGCTCGAGCGACGCCTGGAAGTCCGCCTTGGCACTCTCGACGTCCGTCATGAGGAATTTGAACGTGCCCCGCAGGTTCAGCGCCTCGGCCTTGCCGCCGTCCCAGGAGATGCCCTGCTCAATGGCCTCGTTGACGAGCGTGTACGCGTGCGCATAGTCGGACGCGCCGAGCGCCTCAAGCCCGAGGATGAGCGTGTTGTCGCCCGTCGTCGGGTTCTCTGGCAGCGCTGGCAGCGGCCGTGGGCGGAAGGCGCCAAAATAGGCCGATGTGAACATGTGCGAAGGCAATCGCTTCTCGCGTGTCTGCAAGACGGAATCAGTACTCTATACACAACAGATGGACTGAAGCAGTACTCACTGACAGAATACTTTGCGCCTTGCCCGTCGCAAGCTTTTTAAGTACCCGCTCCACAGCTTCCGCGGCATTCATGTCTTGGAACTGGTTCAATATTGCCGCGGCGGTGAAGTCTGCACGCAACCAGTCAGTATGAAGCACGGCGTGATGAAGGCGAGCCAAGCTCACCGCGCAAAGCCTCCTCGAACCGCTCGAGAGACTCCAAGGCGGTCGCGCGGCGGTTGAGAGCCTTGATGTATTTTCGGTCCAGAGCAAGGGCAGCGTCACAGTCCTCAACGACCTTCTCGTGTTGTGGAGGGTTCAGGTTGACGTAACATGCGGCGCGGTTCGAGAAGAAGACAGGCTCGGGTTGGGGAGTTACCGCGATCGCACGGGTATAGTAGTCGATTGCTGTCTGGAACTTCCGCTGCTGGTATGCGGAGTTGCCCTTTGCCTTCAGTGAAGCGGCAATCTTTGTACGCTCCTAAGTATGCGCACAAGAGGATGTGAGCCAGCATCCGGAAGTGAGACGTGGAACGCATACCTCCTGTGAAAGGGCGGCGATCTCCTCAGCGGTATACTCCTTGTCGTCTAGAATAGGGTATAAGCACTTTGTCGATACGAGCCATCGGGGAGGCGAAGGCGCAAGTGTAGTTGCGCTTCATAATGTGTATAGACAATGAGACGGCGCGAGCCGAAGAGGAGAAAATATTCGTTGCCGAACAGTAAGATCCCACCGCGCCGAAGGAGTCAAGCTCGACAGGCCGGACAATGCGCCCTTGAACTGATAAATAGGTTGCAAAGAAACGAGTGACTCGTCATTATGATCAGATTGGTCTCTGTGGGCTCTTCATGCGCGAGCCGCGAGGTGGCCCAACCTAGCGCCAACCGCGCACACGTCCGCCGCTACGTGTAATGCACACGCGGTCGCGTCGACGCGAGGATTTACTCTTGTCCGCTCTAAGACGTGTCATGCGTCTTGCAGGAATACTGCAAGCGCAACAGACCTTGACTAGACAACTGGTGTTCTTCCGTAGATGGGATCCAGGAGACCCTGGGTCCGCATACATATGCGTCCTTCACAACGCCAGACAGAGTCAATAAAGCAGGAGGGGACTTGCATGCTAAGGCTTCGGGGTCGCGCAGGGCCCGACGCGGGGGGACACGAGGCAGCAAGGGTGAGGTATTTGGATGTAACGGGGCGAGTGCGTGAAACGCGTTACTCACCTTCCTCAACCGCGGCGGACTTGGGTTTCCGCTCCTCGAGAAGGGGACCGTCCTCGTCCTTGACTGTCTTGCGCTTCTTGCTCTTCTTCTTGTCCTTCTTGCCCTCGCCCTTCTCTACGTCACCTCCCGGTCCGCGCGAGGTCGAAGCATAGTACGCGACGCCGCCGACAGCGACGACGGCAGCAGCAGTAGCAATGAGAACAGCATGCTTGTGCTCCGAGACGAAATTTTGGACGCGTTCGACGACGCCCTGGGACGACGTGGAGGACATGGCGGTGGGTCGGCAGAGGGATGCGTTCGGCACGCTCGCAACGCATCGCACGGCCGTAATTTGCCTGGCCTAGGTTAGGGTTCTCATGACAGAATAACCCTAACCTCTCAGATCATGCATATTCCCGCTCTTGGCCTTGAAAACTTCTGCCTATCGATCGGGTTGCTTGCACGCAGGAACGAGTGGCATTTTCGTTAGAGGTTTATACGCAACATGGCGGAAACTGCTACGTTCTCGTCATCCGGCGTGGATGCCATTACTCGCCCCATACATCTCGAAGAAGAGGTCCCAGACATACTCTCTCAGGCCCAGCTTGAAGAATCATACGATATCGCGCGAACAGTTGACGAAATCGAGAAAGGGGATTACAAGAGAGTAGGTCTGTAAGGCACAACCGTTATAGAGCCTTTATAACAATCACGCTGGCAGATCGCACTGCAGTTCTCGGATGAGCTCCTGCCTCATTCGGTCCCAATCTTCCGGGCACTGAAGTCCAGAACAACGGAAGGTCGAGAGTTTTATGTGCTCGCGGACACGTCCTACGGGAGGTAAGTAAGATAGCAATGATTTGAGTACGATGTCTGTCTGACTTCGACCTCTCAGTTGCTGCGTCGATGAAGTCGCCGCACAGCATGTAGATGCAGATGCTTTGGTCCACTACGGTCATGCTTGCATGAGTCAGTGCGTTCGAGTAGAGGCTGACCCGGCAGCCTTGTTTCCTAACGTTCGATCCAGGACATCACGACTACCAGTGATCTACGTTCTGGGCAAGAAGCCTATAGACGTTTCGCACTGCGTAGAAAGCTTCGCAGAGGTTGTGCCAAATCTTTCTGACAAACACAGCATAGTGTTGAAGTATGATGTGGCCTATGCCTATGAAGCTGGTATGTTTGGAGACAAACATGCTTGTGGAACATGCGACGTTACTAAGCCGTTTCCTCTCAGACCTTGTCATCACAGCCCTCAAGAACAAGCTGTCTTCGTCGACACGTATACTGCATACTCCCGTTACATTGACTTCACATCCTGCATCGTCAGGACAACATCGTACCCCACAGGAACTCCAAGAAACAGGCGCAGATCCTTCACCCGATTCCAATGTGTCTCCCGAGAAAAGCGCGATCCTCTACATCGGCGGAGAAAGCCTCACGCTCACCAACCTCCTACTCACCCACGCATCTTACGAGGTTCGTGCCGTAGTCGTCATTATCAGGACAGTCGGGCCCTCCGCTCACACGTGAACCATCAGGTCTACGCGTACGATCCCAAGACCCGAACCGCGCGATTAGAGTCTGGGCGCACGAACAAGCTTCTCATGCGCCGCTACGTCGCCGTCCAGAAAGCTCGCGACGCAGACGTCATCGGCATCCTCGTCGGCACCCTCGGCGTCGGTTCGTCCCTGCCTGCCTTTCTTCCCTCGCTCGCTAATGAAAGTGACTCTTCCCCTCGCGAATAGCCAACTATCTCCCCCTCATCTCGCACCTCCGCACGCTCCTCGCCCGCGCCCAGAAGAAGTCCTACACCATCTCCGTGGGCAAGCTCGCCCCCGCGAAGCTCGCCAACTTCCTCGAGATCGAGGCCTTCGTCCTCGTCGCGTGCCCCGAGAACTCCGTGCTGGACGCGAAGGAGTTCCTCCGGCCGATCGTGACCCCATACGAGCTCGAGGTCGCGCTGCGCCCGACGCAGGAGTGGACCGGGCGGTACGTACTGAACTTCGAGGAGCTCCTGAGGGAGGGGCAGGCGGAATCAGAGGGTGCGTCTGTGTCTGCATTCTTGGTTCTTTCGGGCCCGATTCGACCGACGCCTGGCTTCTCGCGCGAAGGTTTCATGGGGCTCAGTACGCTAATCTTGACATTGACACCGACATTGACAGGAGCTGCTGCGCAAGGACACGCGGATGCGGAAGGGGACGCAGAAGGCGAGGAGGGGCCCGCAGATCCAGACCAGCCCGTATTCTCGCTCGTGAGTGGGAAGTACAGGCACGCGAAGCGCTATGGCGGTGAGTACTCGGAATCCACACCTCACCCAGTCCATATATAGCTCATTCACTTCGCGTCATTTTATTTGGACGTCATCTAGGTACAGGGAAGGACGAAGGCACAGCGAACGGGGATACGGACTCGTCCGCAGTCGTTTTGCGCAACCAGGGGAGCGCGGTGGCTATCATGAGCGATAGCGCTGCTGGTGCGTCTCTCCTCTCTTTTTTCTGGTCCTTCGTCGGATTGAAGTCCTGCATCCTTCCGCAGCACATTTCCTCCAGCAACGGACATACCAAGGGCTCGAGACTCGCGTTGGGCAAGACGCGCCTAGCCTGCTGGAGCAGGGGCGCAGCGGCATCGCGCGGGGGTATGGCGACGACCATCGTGAAGGGTCATCTGCATAATGTGAAGTGATGTTCAGTCATGAAATGTGTGTGTTCGTAAACGTAGTGTGTCCATATCCTGTATCAAAACGAATCCAGATGAAACCCAAATGTAACCGTACAGTTTACATGTCATACGAGGAGAGGCTGCGAGGGACTGGACCAGACTACATTTGTGAGAACACGATAGTGAGCGAAAAAGCAATGCGAGGACGGAGTGGACAGAGGAACAATGGGACAACACAGGGCACGGAATACAGGTTGGAGGCGGCGGCGGCCTCGGGTACAATGTCAACGCGGGGGTGGATGCTACAAGCGCCATTGACGTTCTCCAGAGGCGAGCCGTTTGTTCTTATATACATAGAAGAGACGAAGGGACATAATCAGGATCGCTCCTTCGATGAGGAAGCCAGCGTTCGTGAAGTGACCAGTCGGGAAGCCAGGCGCTTCGGAGTCCTTGTAGATATATACTCCTGCAGGTCCTGTCAGAAACATGACTGTGACTTTGTAGCGCCATAGGACCCACCAATGATTTGACCCAACTGTCCAAAGGCGACACACAAAGGGATCGCCAGAGTTGCGGCGCCTGTACTTCTCAGATTCGCCGTCAACCAACTCATCGAGGTTGGATTGCAGGCAAACGAGAAGGAGAGCGCTATGCATAAGAATACATAGCGTGTCACAAATGCATCCGGAGGAAGTGCACCTGAGGAATGGAAAATTGAGATGGACTGCGAGCACAGCGGCTCGAGTGTCATACCTTGCACGACATAGCTTACGCCAGCTAGCAGCATCGAGAAGAACGTCGCCAAGGACCTCACCTCGTACCTATCCGCGATCCATGACACCAGAACCGTGACCACAAACCCGATAGCATACGGTGGCACAGTGAACAGCTGCGCGTCCAGCCCTGTGTAGCCCAAGCCAGCAACGATCGTCGGCGCGAACAGCGAGTTGCTCGAGAACGACACTGAGTTCGAGATGTAAGCGATGTAGTGCCCGTACAGCCGCCAGTCCATGAGGGTCGCTTTCGTCTCCGGCCATGTGATCTTCTCATGGCCTAACGAGGCGACACCCTTGATGCGCTGCGTCGCGAGCTCCCGCTCTCCATCCGATAGCCAAGCCTCGGTCTCGGGATAGTCTGGGAAGAACAGCGCGCAAAGTATCGCGGCCAAGCACGAGGGAGCGCCCTCGATAAGGAAGAGCCAGCGCCAAGCCTCTAGTCCGCGTACCATGTTCAGATGCTTCCCGATCCCAAACGCGATCGCCCCCCCAAACGCCCCTCCCAGAGACGAACAGGCGACAATAAGGGCGATACGTACTGCTCGTTCCTCAGGGCGGTACCAAAACGTGATAACGTAGACCAGTCCGGGGAAGAGTCCAGACTCGAACGCTCCTAAGAAGAAGCGAACGGCGACGAGGCCACTGAAGTTCTTCACGGCCGCAAGAAGCATGGTCATGGCGCCCCAACAGAACATCATTAGTGCCATCCAGCGCGAGGGCCCACACTTCTTGAGCATGTAGTTCGACGGCGTTTGGATGATGGTAAACGCGACGATGAAGATCATAAGCGCGAGGAGGTATTGCTCGTTGGAGATCTGTAACGTCTGCACGAGCGAGTCGCCTTGCTCGCGGTCGAGGACCTTCGCATTGCCCTACGCATGACAGGGAATTGGTAAGTAGGATAGGAGACGAGGCCCTGATGCAGGTGGTGACCCACGATATTGGACCTATCGATAAAGGAAAGCAAGTGGATTATCATTCCCGCAGGAAGGATGCGCATATCGATCCGCCTCACAAGCCTGCGCCCACACGCGGTCAGCATCCGTTCTAGACACACACCATCACTTATACGCGCCTTCGCTCTGCCGCCTTGTCCACGGCATACACTATATCCTTGCTTGATATTGAATCAATCGGAGAGGCCGGCGACTTCTCCACGTCCGAAACGAGCTTGCTAGGGCTATCCATCGCAATGCGGTATCCTCGGTTATGTGGAGGGTATGTCGAAGCGTTAAAAGGAGTTGGGGACGTGAACGATCGTGAGAAGCTATGCAGACATGTACGGGCGGTCACGATACACACTGCAGGGAGTGGGCCCCGTTCGGTTTGACGATACTTTCAGACGCACTGGTCATATAAATATGCTGCAAATCCACCCGTGATAGAGAACGCCAAAGCTGGACGTCGCTTTTCGTTACATCATATGGACCTGAGCGCCTTCCGACGGCGCACGGAGCACTTGTGCTTCTCAGGCTATATCTATCTTTGGTTAGTTATACCTGGGATTGAAGACAAACGCGGTATACTGATCCCATATACCGCTACCTCACATAGCGTCGGAATCGGCTCCGGAATGCGTCAGGAGAGAGATTGCAAGAAGGCTTGGTCAGATTGGCCGAGGGGCTAAGCGTCAGGCGGATCCTCTCGCCTCTCGGCATTCGCTAGACGGAGTTAAACAGTACGAGTTGCTCTGCTTGAAGTTGCTGCGGGTGCGTGAGGCGCCTACAGTGCTCAGTCGGCAATCACAGCGAGGCCTTCATCCCTTGGGCGCACCAATGAACCGCGCAACACGAGCCAGATCGACGCGGGCACGAGGAGGTGTTGTCCCTTCTGAAAACCCCGGGGATGCGGACTTCGTGATCGCGGACTTGGCACGCACCGTGCAGGTGCTTCATGAGATCATAGATGAACATCCTGACGTGCATGAGCAGCAAAGCCGAGCGATGTCGGAAAGAAGCACTCAGCTAGTGCAGCCATCCAATGCATGAGTCACAGCGGTGGCATGGCAAGACAAGTCTGCTAGCAGGCTCTATCGAAGTTCGCATAATGAGCACAGAGTATGTAGGCAGGGTGATGCTCTTGTCATGATGTGTGGCGTACCTCACAATTCCTATGCTTTTGCTGGATACCTATCATCTAGCATGATACCTCCAATCTATTCGTAAAGTCGGTGGTCAAGAGAACCCGAATCGTTCCTGGACGGGTGAAACGGTGCGACTCGGAGCGGCTGGGACGGTGGAAGCTGAGCGACTGGGCGCTGTCGTGTTACATAATCTGAGATTGAGGAACGATCATAAACGTAAAACTGTTTCGTAACCCGGACCGGACTCTCCTTCAAACAACCGCCTTGGATGTCCTAGCCCAACAAACATACATATGCTGCCCCGCAGATATCAAGCGTGTGCATTGTAGAGGCTTTTCGGCGACAAGCTCGAGAGCAGAGTAGGTATAACGACTGGGAATCTAATCGAGAACCTATGTCTAGTTCTCAAGCTGTTCGCTGTGCCAGGGGAACTTGGCTTCAACACGGGACTTCAGTCACATAATGCATTATTTAGGTTGACCTAAAGCCGAAGCCATGACTCTGTCTGGCTCACCGTCTGGACGGAGGTGAGCAGCTTCAGTAAATTAACCTACCGGAGGTCAACATGAGGAAGGAACTCGAAGAGAAAAGGGCACTTGGGAGTTGATGGGCGAACCACTTTGTGAGTTTATCACCAAAGAGCGCGATGGTCGAAGAATAGTAACGGTGCACATATCTCCCAGGACCACTGGGATGACCCCAGCGTGCGACCTGAATGCATGCCATTATCTATGCGTCGGTGCGGCGCCGTCTGGCAACGGAAAGCTGAAGGCAAAGTTATGTCTAACATCTTATTTCGGCGTAGGGAATTAGTGAAGCTTATACATTCCATGGTTAGCCGTAGACTACTCGGTACTGGCGATAGGAATTAGTGGATCCAGAATCAATGCAGGTCCCTACTCAGGCTTGCGTGCAGGCTGGCCTCTTCGAATCGCTGTCTAGAATCGGAGCGACTGCTCACCGCGTGCAGTACTAGGGTGGCGTTCCTCGTGTTCTTCATTTCTACAAGGAAACATCTATCTTAATTTGTTTACTGGTATGTGCTGGTCAATGGTCGCGCTACCTAAGACCAGTCCCGCCGGGAGTGGGGGCTCTTGGAGCGCATAGAAGCAGTATCTGATTCAAGTCCCACGCCGAGTCATGCAGAATTTCCAAAGTTGTACTACGTGCTTCCTGACTCCCACTCATCCGACTCGTGGACCGAGGAACTTCATGAGACTCATGTCTGACAGTATACCTACAAGGCACCGTATTTGTCACTGCATTTCTCCGAGCCTCCTCTTGACTCTCCACTCCTTAAAGAGGACATAGACAATGACAGCGTTCCGCACCACTATTCCTGCAATACTTCAGAATCCGAGCTTGGAATATCACTAGATATGTACGTTCGCTGTGTAGGATATTTCTCTCACTCCACTCACCTCAGTCGTACAGGGCTCCCGACCACGTGCGACGATGGATGTCGGAGCACCTCTCCACCCTTGGCCAGTACCCATTGTGCCAAACCTGCTTGCCGGGCTCCATGACGCTGGTCACTACAAGCTGGAGCGATCTACCGCTCTGAGGGGCACGCGCAGCAATGTGATCACGCAAACATTGTCTATCTACTAGCAACTGGAGCATGGCGTGCGCTGGTTTGACATCCGACCATTCCTCATAAAGGCCAGCCCAGGCGATTCGGGTTAGTTGACCTGAATTATGTCTGACGCGAACACTTCGTGTACTGATGGCTTTACTTCTTCTCAGGCACCTGGCGGACAGGTCACTTCAGCCCGCTCGGAGGTGTCCTTGACTGGCAGGGTGGTTGCGGAGCCTCCATCGACGAGGTTATCAACGACATCAACAACTTCACGAAGGACCACCCAGAGTCGATCATCCTCGATGTCACCCACGTCACCCATCTCCTCTGAGAGACGAAGGGTAAAGGGCTTGACCTCACCATCGACCATCGTCGGGATCTGCTAGACAAATTCACAGCGGTCAAGCATGTCTTCCGCACGATCGCGGACCCTGAGCACGTTGTGCTTGACTATCTTCCTCTCACCGAATTCATCGGGCATGGCGAAGCGGCCGTGGTGCTCTTGGGCTTTGATCTTGGCGAGCTCCACCGCCGCGGGTTCTACCACTCCAGCCGCTACTCCGTATACAACCACTACATTACCCTCGCGCAGGACGACGTGGCTGCCGTGCTCTCGACGCTGAACCCAGTGCAGGTCTTCGGCCCGGGCGCGGACAACTACAGCGTGCTGAGGCTGACCGAGTCGCACCAGCGCGCGGAGTTCCCTTTCGCACTGCAGAACATCGCGGGCGGCGAGTATCCGTCGGTGTTGACGGTTGACAACGTCCGGGACGACGATGTGCTCACGCTGAGCCTCGCGATCAGCTTTTGACACTATAATATCGTGCACGGGCTGTGGAACAAGGTGATCGTGTACGGCGGGCGGCACATCGTGGACCCCGGGGTACACCAGAGGCTCCAGGAGTGTATCGACGCTCCGCGCGGGTTCCCGATCTCAAATGAGAACCTCGGCAGCGACCCGTGGCCCGGCGTCAAGGAGTCATGCGCCATCTTCTACTGGGAGGACGGCTGGGTGAAGGGTCGCTACGGGAAGGAGCACAGCTCGCTGCACCTCGAGCAGGACATCAAGTCAATCGAGTATGGTGGGTCGGACATGAAGAACCACGGTGTGTATTACCGCTTTTACAGGGCGTTGGTGGAACGCGGCGGGGTGCGGATCAACAACGATAACCTGGGCGGAGACCTGAAGGTTGGCCAGAGGAAGAAGTGCAAGGTGCGGTATCGCGAATTAAATGGTAAGGATACAGAGGAATACCAAGTGGATGAGGACAAAGACCTGGATTTCTGGGAGCGTTTTTCGGAGACCCAGTTGAGCCATGACCAGTGGTAAGATGAAGATGAATGGAGGAGTCTGACAGTTGTACTACTAGTTGACTAGTTCATTGTACCGACGGTGTGCATCGTCCTAATGCATCATCCCGTCACACTTTCCCACATAACGTCAAGGGCTGAGTGCTGTCACTGAGTCTTCAATGAGGAGTCTTTCAATATATGTAGCGCAGAACATAGATCCAGAGGCGACCTCCAGCGTCCGCGTCCCGAGGCACGGTCCTGAGGACATCGGAAACTGCCGTGGCATGCAGGCGCTCCGTGGCACCACTTGCAAATTTGGCACGAGGGCAAGTTGCGCACTGTTCACACCGAAGGTACAATGATAACAAGCCGAATACTCTCCCCGCCTGCGTACGTGTCGTTCTTTTAACATAGCTTGTCATGCATCCCCAGTGTCAGTGTCAAGCGGCGATTGAGCGAAAGACCATCATAACCTAAGGCTGTTTCGTCATGGTCAGTACCTCTTCTGATATCACCCTAAAGCCGACCCAGAGCCCGGTGTCGTAATCTGTCAGCTATTACTGCTCTCTTCCCTAGACACCTGGTCACCTGAGGCAGGCATATCTCAAGTGCTCTCGCTTCTGCAATCAGATCGGAATACATGGCTTTCGTAGCTCACTGGTGGCAGGATCACATGAGTCACCTGCCGAATACCACCGACTCTTTCGCATCCAATGCGACCTCGTGTCGGTTCTTCCCTGCAATTGTGCGCTGGACCCGGCTAATTTAACAATCGTCACACACGTGCAGGAACCGCTAGATCGTGAATGAGAGCGAAGTGTTCTCACAGCGGCATGAATGATAAGGAGGGACGTCGGCGATACAAGAAGCAGCGCTGGTTTCCTCGGACGTTCTACCAGCTATCACTATGCGTGCACTGCGGCTGGGTATCCTCAAAGACTCGGGTGCGCCGGAAGGAAGCATCGACTACACCACGATTGTTCTCTTGCACGGTTATGGATGGCATAGCGGTAAGCGTCTCTATCATATTTCAATCATCGGCTCTAGAGGTTTAACATTAATCATGTGCATCCTGCCACATTTGCTAGGCGTATTCGCGAAATTGGTCCCTATCGCTGGCCGATTTAACGCCCGCGTTGTACTGGTGAACAGACAAGATTATCCGGGAGCTGAGCCGTTCACGCTAGAAGAGCGAGCCGAGCTGTTGAAAGCGGCCATCGAGCTGAAAACGAATCCCCTTTCCGCGAGGGACAGGCTCGATGTGTTCATGAAGGGACAAGCACGCGAAATATACGATCTACTTATCCACCTCGTGGCCGAACATCACATTCCTCCAGCACGCCCCGAGGCAAACACAGGCGGAATCATAATCGGAGGATGGTCGTTTGGGGCGTCTTGGATGACGGCGCTTCTGGCAAATGTTGCGTCGTTCCCTGTGCATGATATCGAACTGAGCCGTTACGTGCGGAGAGTGGTCTTCTACGGTGCGTCTTTTCTATATGAGAATGTGCGAGAGCTACAGCATTTTGTATCTGCCTACAGACACCTCAGACGTCGCTCTCGGATTCCCAACTCTTCCGCATGTCTACTTCCCTCTGACAGACCGGACGATCCCAGCGGAACAACTCGCACAGCTATTCGCCGAATGGGTCACCGCATATTTTGCACATGGAGACACTCCCGAGCAATACCAATCTCGACACTACCTCGCATCCCCACCTCCTACGCTCACCTCAATGACGGATGAGGAACGACAGTTCGTTCAGCACCATGTGCCAGGCGACTCAAGGGGAGGCTCAGATCATCTCCTCATGGGTAGCGGGTACGAAAGCGGACTGTTCGCCACTCTCCGCAAGAACGCGTTGCGCCTCCCACCTCCGAACGCGTCCCTGGTAGGCGATGCCTGGAGAGATGTCGAAGTCCGTCATCTCTGGTGTGACCACTCAGTATGGCTCATACGTTGGGGCGAGGTCAGTATGCGCCGGGAACTAGAAGAGGAGAGGAAGGCCGGGGTATCCTTGCGACCCGTGAGCTTCGTGCGGGTGCGAGGCGCGAACCACTTTGTGAGTTAGGGAGGACGCAGACTCGTGGCGAATGCTGATCATAACACGTCTTTCTCACCAGGTTCATTGGGACGAACCTGAGCGCGCAATACATGCCGTCCTCGCGGCTGTCCCTGCTGACGGCGGTGAGATCGAGGCAAAGTTGTAGTCACAGAAGAGCACCCTCGTAGCGCATCGATTCGGTCACTTTCTTGAAGCCGATGGGCCTTGCAACAGTTTATTCGAACAATTAGACAGCATGCCGGCGTTCGCTTGACCGTAAGTACCGACCACGATGGGTGATCTATGAGAACAAACGCAAAGACTGTCCGCAGCTTGCTCGGATATCTGGGAATTTGGGATCTATATGTCTCATTCAATCCCTGTCCAGCTTCGCCCGGCATAGCAGTACGCTTCTGTGCCAAGTCAAACTCAAATGCGCAAGATACAGAACGCCAACGTTCACCTCCGTGATTACCAGACATCTACACAAAGCTAAAAACCTTCACCCATACGTACAACGCATATGTCGCCCCCGTCAGCCAACGCACATCACTCCTTCGCCCCAGCATTCTCTCACGAAGGACATTCCAGTTTCTCGCCAGTTGCGAAAATCCGAGTCCGACGCAGCCGCTGCTCGAGGCGCTGAACCTGCTCGTGCGCGCCGTGAATGATGGCGACGTCCCCGAATCCCATCGCGAAGAGACTCAGGACGTACATGCGTCTGCCAGCTTGTAGGCTGGTCGTTCCGACTAGCCACTGATGTGTGGACAATGACTCCGGCCGCATCAGCAAATTGTGCAAACAATGGTCATCCATGACCACGGCGCCCGAAACTGGCCTCCCCTTTCCGGAAACCGCAAGCGCCTACTAATTACGGCCAACTCCCATCTCGTCCGACGGACTCTGGCCATTGAGCACCTGCGCGGATGGATCCCGGCAATGCTAGGTAAGTATTCATCTTGCGCTATCACTTCATACCACTCAATCGTCATTAGAGAAACATCGAGGCTATGCAAAGCGCCCCACTGTACCACAGCCGCCTCGGCACTCCTCACTAATATCTCTCTTGTCCCTCTCCCGAGCGCACTCCTCGTCCTACTCTCCGCCTCTGCACTCTACGCCTGCTGCTCTGCGACTCCCAGTGAGCTCTGTCTCTACGCTCCTGCTGCTCCTGCGCCGTGCGCCGGGGTCCTGAGCGTGAATTCGCACAACTTCTCCACCACCGTAGTTATGAGGCAGAAGTGCCGTTGCACGTAGAGCGGGGATTAGCACGGAGCGGTCAGATGTCCGCCTGATAGTATATTGTCCGCACGCATGACCCGTGTGCAGGGAAAGCAGAGATACTGGACCAGCGTCCTCGTCAAGTACTGGGCTGACGGACGGAGACGGGCGCTCCATAGACACCATACTTGGACTCCTTCAGCTTGGTATCAAGCTCTAGGGCTCTCAGATCTCAATGTTCTTCGATTATGCATCAATTACAACTCTTACTGACCCTGACATGAAAAGTGCTGAGGTGTCACCCTATAGTAGTTAGTCACCTGCAACGCGAAGCCAAATATTGTGAGTGTTTGCCCCAACATCAGGAAAACGTCACGGACTTGGACCCATACTTGGGCCCAAGTTCATGTACTTGGACTCAAGTCCGTGTACTTGGACTCAAGTCCGTGTACTTGGCCTCAAGTCCGTGTACTTGGCCCCAAGTCCGTGTACTTGGCCCCAAGTCCGTGTACTTGGCCCCAAGTCCGTGTACTTGGTCCCAAGTACATGGACTTGACCCAAGTCTATATACTTGGGGTACTTGGGGTACTTGGACCACAACTTGGACTTTACATGTTGACTTCAGTATACTCAGGCCTCAATTTGAGCAATTGGTGTTCTATCAGTCACACATCTTGTATAATTCTTATGTAATAATATCTATCATAGACATCCATACACTAGTTGTAAACCAGTCTGTTTTAAGGCTGTAGAAGCAGCTTTATAGTCTATTAGAAGAAGGGCAATAACATGTGATAGAAGACTTTAAGTTGTTACAATGTGCTTGTTTCAGTAGTGATACAGAGGTACAATATCCAGATAATGCGCAAGAATAGTGGTATCAGTGGTGGATGTCCAAGTTCTGCTATGGTACAGGAGAGGATGGTGAAGAATTTCTCGGAGTCCAGCAAAGAGCGCTATATATGGTTGCTATTCTGTG